AATTGGCCAAATCTCTAACTTTGTACAAAATTCTAGTTTGATTCCTTTTTTTTTTTTTTTAAAAAAAAGAGCAAATTCATTGTTGTGTTTTTTTAAGAACATTAAATTCAATATGACAATATTTGGAAATGTTTTATTAACAATATAAAATTCCAGTGTCAATATTTTTTATTAATAATATTAAAATTAAAGAACTTAAAAGATACTATTTCATAAAAATTAAGAACCAAATAAAATATTATCTAAGATTAAATATTAAAAGCATATTTTTATTTTATTTATTTTTTTTAATGCATACAAACATGAATGTTGGTTTTATATGGAAGACTCATTTTTTTTATTTTCTTATTTAATTTTTTTTAAAACTTCCTAACCGATAAAAACAGGTTTTCCAATTGGGTTTTGGACAACTTAGAAAACAGACACACCAAGGCCGTCATCATCTGGCGAGAGAGTCAATTTATTGGTAAAATTAAGTGTATATCGCCATATGCGTCAAAATAATACGATAAAATTAATACATTATTGAAGTATGAAAAATTATGACAAATAATATCATAATGTGCAGTGCACGCATATGCATGAAACGTCCCCTAGCGGCCAACCACCATGACACGTATCCTAAGTTGATAACTACCTTAACAGAAAATTCAACGGCCCACGGACGAATGCTTAGGAAAGAAAAGAATGTTATTGAAAGGTGTTGATAGTTGATTGGTGTTTGAATTACAAGACTAATTATTGCTATGGTCCGTGAATACACAATTCCAACCACATCCTCACATACAAAATCTGTATCAAATCGCCTGTGATGGCTGTGATAAGCATGATGAGGTTCGAGAGTCACATGGCTTGGGGAGGTATTGAAGAAGATGGCTTATACACTACTTTCGATCCTAATTATAAAAATTAATTGATTATTTAAAGAGATTAAAAAAATAAATTAAGTTAATTATTTGTATAAATATGTATTGTCTTTCCTAAATATCCTTACTAATCAAGTGTATTGACTAAACACTATTATTATCATCAGAAGGACTACCTTGGAAAAATGTATAAATATGAGAGATAAAGTGGATTAGGATCTTATATATTAGAACTAAATAAAAGTAAAAAGAGTTTTATATAAGGACCCTAGTTAGTATTATAAGATAGCACAGTCTAAAAACTTGGATTGAGATCTTATATTTAGAACTAAAATAAAAGTTAAACGGAGTTTTATATTAAGGACCAGAAAATAGTGTTATAAGATAGTACAGTCTAAAAACTTGGATTGCCATTGCAATGAAGACATAATTCCTTTTTTTTAATTATAAAAAAACAACTGTTAAAATTGTAGTTTTAAAATGTTAGTTAAATTTAATTAAAAACAATGACTGTATAGGATATATATACTTTTCTAATTATTTTATACTTGTAAAAAGAGGACTTAAGAAATAATAACTGGAACATATATTTAATGAGATAAAGTGGAAGTCTAGCTGAACATTTTTTTTAAAAAAATTTGTTTCTTATGTTTAGGGGCATAACCATGTGAAGATTATTTCTCATAAAAAAACTGAGGGAGTATTAACAAGCACTTTTTGGACAAAAGATCTGGATTTTAATAAGAGAAAAATCATATTAGAGGTGTTATACTTTCTCTACATTTTTAATTTGGTATCTAGGTATTTTTGTCTTTTTAATTAAATTATTTAATTTTATTTTTAGTAACATTATCTCTCATATTTTTAGCCTCTATACAAGATTTAACAATATTAATAGAGGAAAATAAAGATTTAATTGAGAGAAAAGTGCACAAGTATTAAATTGAAAATTAAAAAAATATATAGTATCCCTAAATGGTTTTTCCTTTTAACAAAGAATATGAAAAATTAAATTAAGGAAGATGTTTGATAGAAACAAAATCATATTTTAAAAGTAATTTTATGATATATAACATAAATATGTAAAGATTTATGAAAAAATATTTTTATATTTTTTTTCAAGCACCCATAGGCTCTTGCCACCACAACAGCGCATTCGTTCGGGTTCTTCAATCGGTGACGGTTTTTTTTCCGTCGTTTCGTTTTCTTTTATGTTTACCCATGCCAGGTCAAACAGCCATGATGTTTAAACAAATTTCATGTGCCTTTTGATGATAATTCTTTTTTAGCATCTAATAAAGTACTGCACGAGAAACAAAAGCTCTGCCTCTCTTTCTCACTCCATCGCTGACTGCAGATAATTTTGCGGAGACTCAATCAAGAGGCTCTTAGAGCCTGATCAAGGTAAAGCAGTTGAATTTCTAATAAGGATATCATAATCGAATCTGTTTCCCGGGAAATCGAAACTTTTAAAGAGGACCTATGATCAGTCCAACCGTCGCTGCAACTGCGTTACTGGCCATAGCCACTTCTTATCTCTTTCTTTTCGTTACTTCACCTTCAAAATCAACTTATCATTCCCTCTTCATATCCGATTCCCTCGCTGATAATGCCTCCATATCCCGCCACCTCCGCACCCTCACGCGCCGTCCTCATGCTGCCGGCTCCGAAGCCAACGCCGAGGCCGCAACTTATGTTCTTTCAGTTCTCACCTCCTCTTATATTCCATCCCACATAACTTCTTATAAGGTCTCCCTCACATGCCCACTTTCTCGCTCTTTATTGCTCATAAACCCATCTCCAAAACCACCCACTAGCTTCACTCTACGACAAGAAACCTACGATGGTGATCCTTATGCTGATGTTGAAGGCGAGGTTCTACCCACATTCCATGCTTATGCTAAGTCAGGCACTGTGATTGGTCCTGTGGTTTACGTCAACTATGGGCGCGTGGAGGACTATTTGAAGTTGAAAGGAATTGAGGTGAATGTTTCAGGTACAGTGGTACTGGCACGATATGGGGAAATTTACAGAGGGGATATAGTGAAAAATGCGTATGAGGAAGGAGCTATTGGGGTGGTGATATATTCAGATCGTAAGGATTACGGCGGCGCCGGCGAGGCACGTTGGTTCCCTGACGGTAGGTGGATGCCGCCGAGTGGTGTTCAGGTGGGAACGGTACATAACGGATTGGGTGATCCTACGACTCCTGGTTGGGCGAGTAGAGATGACGACGACGATAAATGTGAGCGGCTATCAGAAGATGAAGTTGAGAAAGAAGGAGATGTTTTCTTTTACTTCTTTACCGGTTTCAGCAGCGGATGGTGAAGAGATACTAAGGTCAATTGGTGGTCCAGTAGCTAATGATGATTGGCAAGGAGACAAAGATGCACCTACTTACAGGGTTGGACCAGGTCCAGGAATTCTCAATCTCAGTTACACTGTAAGTATACATTTAGTTTGAAGCTTCTACAAGATCACTACTTCATAAGCCATGCAATATCAATGTAACATCAATTGTGTGAATTGCTAATTCACTTTTTGGTTTGCAGGGGGAGGAGGTGTTAGCCAAGATTGAGAATGTTATTGGTGTGATTAAGGGAACAGAAGAACCTGATCGGTGTGTAAGAATTTCCTGTTTATAAGTTGGCATAAATATAATCATATGATTAGGCAATCGTTTGCATTCAACCAGCAATTATTTAGACTGTTGCTACTACCTGTAGATTTGTCATCCTCGGTAACCATAGGGATGCATGGACGTTCGGAGCTGTTGATCCTAATAGTGGTACTGCAGCACTACTTGAGGTAAAGATGGCTGCATAGCTACGGGTTTACTTGAGCTGAAGGGTGAAGCCTATTTTGGCTTCTAATGATGATCAAGTTTCAATTGGTTTTCTCGATTAGTACTTAAAGCTTGATTGAACATTTTGATCTTTGAAAGCTTGTACAATCTTGTTTTGTGAGAATTATCTGGCATTTGATATTATCATATCAGTTTGAGCGCATTAGGTACTTAATGGTGAGGCTCTCCTAGCATTTTTTTTCCCCATTAACATGACTCGAATTTGAAACTATGCTTTAGAGGATATTGAGTTTCTTTTATGTGATCAAAGTATTATTGATTGTGTTGTATCATTGTCTATCTGTTGAAGGATGGAACTTTTGGGGGGGGGGGGGAGTTAAGCTGCTCAGTGTTTGATAGAACCCTGCTGACAATAAGTATAAAGTACAGAAATTTGGGAGTAGAAGTGAATGTGAAGGGGAAATTCTGAGGCTTTGATGTTAATACTCACAAGAAAGCAAATTAGTATTACCAGGACACTCATTGATTCTGTTCAATACCCTATTCCTCAATACAACCAGTACAGAATAATCTAACCGAAATTAACAAGACATTGGTAGCCCAATGAGCATGTTGTCTTTTGGCCCAAACCACCAAGAGAATAATCTAACCGAAACTACTGCAACAAAATACAGAGAAATACTTGCACACACACTGGCATTCGAGAGGCCAGCCCTCTCCTAAACCTTACTTCATCTTCCAAAATTCTGAACTCTCTCTCCCTTTCTCAGAAAGGATGATCTTATACCCAAAAAGCAGTCATTACCCCTACGGTCTATCACCATTTTAGCCTTATGGTTATAAAAGGATAAACCTCTAGACCACTGGTTTTAGTTCTCTTTAAATCAGCTCTTTCCTAGATTGGCTGCCGTAGGTCTAAGGAAATGATGTCCAAATCTTTAAGGAATCACGAGCTCTATCTGTATTGAAGGTATTTATTTAAAAAAAAAATATATATTTGGGTGATATTGATCCTTGCATGATGCAGATTGCTCAACGGCTTGGGAAGCTTCTGAAAAGAGGTTGGAAACCTAGAAGAACGATTATCTTATGTAACTGGGATGCAGAGGAATATGGCCTTGTATTTTTCTTTCTCTCTGCTTCTCTTTACTTAAACACAGCAAAAGTTTGATTTCATTACTCCCTCCAGATAGGATCTACTGAATGGGTAGAAGAGAATAGAGAAATTCTTGCTTCAAGAGCAGTTGCTTACTTGAACGCTGACTGTGCAGTAAGAGGACCTGGGTTCCATGCCCTAGCTACTCCACAGCTCGATGAATTAATCAAACGAGCAACTCAGCAGGTATTGCAGAATTAATATGAGTATAAATGACGTTAATGATTAAATTCTGGGGTCTTAGCATTTCGGTTTCTTTCCTGCTTGCTGCTAACCCTTGCTTTTTAATATTGATATTGATTCTTTTGAAGGTCAAGGACCCGGATAACTCATCATTGACTATCTATGAATCATGGGCTGGTTCTGGTAGTTCTCCAATGGTAGGCAAATTGCAGTTGTTTACATATCCATATTTACGTTAATAATGCTTAAGGTTTCCCATGTGGTATTCTCCCTATTGTAACTTGTAAGTTGCATTTTGCAATGGGAAGAAATCACTCCATTTTTAATTTCACCAAACCTGGGAGTGATCTGTGAGGATTAAATGTTGGTATATCTGTATAATCTCAATATCTATGCTCATAAAAAACTTGTTGCTGCATGTAAAGTTTGGAAGATTGGGAGGCGGGGGATCAGATTATGCAGCTTTTGTGCAGCATGTGGGAATTCCATCAACTGATGTGTCTTTTGGAAAAGGTAAAGGTCCGAATTGATTCATTATTAATTCTGTTCATCGCCCTGACGCAGGTTTCTGTAGATTCAATTTTTGTAGAGAAAAAAACAATGAAAATTCTCAAAAACACAGATGTAGGAAAGAAGTCGCTATCTTTTGGTTCAAGTATTTGTTTGTGAAGGAGCAGCTCATACTAAAACATGTCAGCATGCTTTTTAGGTATTTATGATGAAATAACATGTAATACCCCTAGAATAAAAGCTTTGACGCCTAAGGAAAGGATGGGAATTTGGGAAAAATCCATTTTTTTCCCCCAGTAACAGGAATTTTGTTTTAGGTCCTATCTATATCTACATTTTGTACATGTCTTATTTGTAGGACTAGATGTCTCAAACCTTTTACGGCAAACTAGTATATGCCATTCATGTCAATAGTGGGCTGCTTCAAGAACTAGGTATCTTGGAAGTTTATCATTTAGTGTTGATTCAATTGTAAAATGTCAGCATAACTACCTCAACTTAAAGGCGAGGGATGGGCAGATGCTACCAATGCATTAGAGACTTTTAAAAGATTGCTTTAGAAAATGCTTCATGTATATGTATACTCTATTGTTTTATAAATGTCAATCATCTATATACCTTTGCCTTGTGGTTGGCATCATGATCAGAAATTTCTATCAGATTAAGGGAGTGTTTGGATAAAAACAAAACCATGGTTTCAGAATTGCTTTTACGGATTACGAAGTAAATATGTGGATGAGGTTATCTCGTTTTGCGAAAAAGTGCTTCTGAAACCACGGTTTTGGAGCACCCAAACAGAGCCTAATTAGATGTATATCACCTGGACTTGATTCAAATCATTCGCAGATTACCCAGTCTACCACTCATTGTACGATGATTTTATCTGGATGGAGAAATTCGGTGACCCTAAGTTTCAAAGGCATGTGGCAGGTTGATCTTATGAGCTTCTTTTATAGCCTCTGATAAATTAGCCTTGAAAATTTACTTACCTGTTTCATATGCTTAAAAAAATAAAACTAGTCAATAACTGCGTGTGTTATGGAAATTACCAGTGGCTAGCGTTTGGGGTCTAGTGGCTCTTTGGCTGGCAGATGAGGAGTTCTTGCCTTTTGACTATCTATCGTATGCTAAGGAGCTCCAGGTATATGTCCATGTTAGGTGGTCCCGTGCATTGCACAAGAGCTGATGAATGAGTTGTACTGATCATGTCTTGTCAATAGTCCAACTAGATTTTATTTTTGGTATGATTCAATGATAGTTTATTCATTTGTATGTGGCATGGTAGAACACTCCCAACTTCTTACCTAGTTAATGATTAAAACATCATAAGCTTAAATCGCAGATTAGCTCAAAGAATCTAGAAGGTGAGATTTCAAACAAAGACATAAGTTTGGCTCCCATATTCAAGTCCATCAGAGAGCTTGAGAAAGCAGCAAAGGAGATGGAATACCAGAGAAAGGTAGCACTTTCAATATCTGTAGACCGCCATTTTTACAGAAACCAGTAGCATTCTCTCTCTCTCTCCTTTTTATTTTTTTTTTATTTTTATACTTTGGAGGGAATGTTCTTTTCTCAAATTGAGAGGTAATTCTTTAAGGCAATTGAAGAAAGTCGAGGTTGGATAACAACGGCATGGAAGAAAGACCAGTTGAGAGTGAGAGAGCTCAATGATAGACTGATGATGGCTGAGCGTGCCTTTGCTGACAAAGATGGCCTCGTTGGAATGACATGGTATAAGCATTTGGTAAGAAGTGAATTTCAAGCCAACTCATTCTTCATTCTTTCGGCATTATCTCTTAAGAAAGAGAGCACATTGCACGAATTCTAAGGAATGAATTTACTATAACTACTCGTGATTTGTGAATAGTGCTGTTTGCTGTAGATATTATATTTTGTTTAGTAGTAATAATCTTGATATTGATAGTGATGTTAATTTTTACTCGTGTATGGCATTTTGATATATAAGTTGTTGATGAAATGATGAACACATTAAATCATCGGGCTTCCATTTTCCAGATCTATGGACCATCTAAACACAATGACTATGGATCACAATCCTTCCCGGGGATAGATGATGCTGTAAGCGTGGCAAAAGAACTGAAGACTGAAGAATCATGGCATCGAGTCCAGCACGAAATTTGGAGAGTATCAAGAGTCATCAGACAAGCCTCCTTAGTTCTAAAGGGTCAACCAACATGAATAGTATTTACTTGTATATTTCCACTTGGTTTGAACCTTTTTTTTTTTTTTTTAAATGCTGATAGATTAAGTAGTGTGTTGTGGATATAATCTCTGAATTTCAGATGAATTTCTCTTGCAAGTGCCTAGTGTAAGAATGTGACACCTATTGTAAAGAATGTGACCTAGTGAAGCGATAGCTTTCTGGGGAATTCTTTCCCCATCATTAATATACCCTCTCTAGTTTTAGATATAAAAGCTAGTAAATGGGTTTGCTTTGGTTTTAGTCTCTTAGATTCAAGCTCTTAATCTATTTTGTCTCTCAAATTATACCTTTTCTTAACCCTAAACTCTCTCCATTACTTATTGCATATATGAAGAGTGTGTGTTTTCTGTTAAGAGAGAGTTTGTAATACAAATGATTAAAATCATTGCTTTAGTGAAACCAACACATATTTTTTACAAATAATTAACTTAATTAATTTTTTTAATTTCTGCAAATTAGTTATCTGCTTCTATATTTAAGACCGGATGGAGTATTTAGGCTTCACTATGTGGCTACAGTCTCCCTACTAGCACGTGATCCTATGACGGGGCCTCAGATAGAGCTCAATTTTCCCCAGCTGATGGCATTGCAGTCAAAAGCCAAGCTGATAATTATTGTGATCAAATTTGTTGGAAATCATTTGTATTCTTGAATTTGATGATTATTTACAGAGGTATTTGGTTCTTTGAAAAGCAGGCAATAAGAATTACATTACTTTTAAACCTTCAAGAAGCATGGTCAAAGGCTTAAAGCATGGATTTTACAATGTAGATTGTCGCTTATCAAGAACTGAACCCAGTACTTGGTCCAGTATTGATAATAGTGCCTTTACACCAGCTAAAGAGCTATTAGTAAAAACCTATTTTGGTCTCTCTTTTTTTCCTCCCTATTTTCTTTTTTTTTTTCCCTCTTTTCTCACTGTCATCCACCACACGTTGTCCATTGATTCTTTGAGTGAATATATTCCCTTTCATCTCATCTCAAATCTCATCTCGATCTCAAATCTCAATCTCAATCTCAAAAAAAAAAAAATATATATATATATATATTGGGTGTATTGTGCATAAGAACAGTAAATGAGAATGAAAATTAATAAATGAGCTATTAATGAAGTTATTTTGTGTCTACAGTTCAAATAACCTGTCTTGTAACTTGGTCAACATGTGACAAAAACGACAGAAAGAGCAACACAAATGATCACGAGCTTCCACTGTTAATGATTCTTTGCGGATTTTTTTTAATCAATCTTATATTATTTCCGATACTAAATATAAGATTTGGTTTGTAGTTCAGTTTTCTCACGGTGGACAAATGTAATTTCTTAACACCTGATTGTTAAACTCACAAAACTATGAGATGAGTGGTGCTACTTGGTAAGCTTCTTATTGTTTTGTTCACTCTAACGAACAAACTCTTGACATCAACACTAGTCCTCCAAAGGTGCGCTCTTTTGCTTTACGGAGTGAAACACAGAGCTGCCTGAATACTAGCGTGCGGGACGTAGTAAGATTGGGATAGTTCTTTCAAAGTATGAGATGTGACATACTAAGGGTTTGTTTGGTTTTTTTGTTTGTTTGAAAATGATTTTTTGTTTTTAAAAACAGAAAAACAAAAAAAACTTGTTTGTCAATTTGTTTTTAGTTAATTGTTTTAAAAAACAAAAAAAGAACAATAATACGTTTTTAAAAACTTAAAAGCTAAACAATTTTTGCATGTTTTCTTTTTGTTTTTGTTTTGTGTTTTTATTTTTTTTGTTTTAAAAATTGGAGAAATCTTCTTCTCTTCTCCTCTTCTATCTACTATTTATCATTACCGGTAATAACTATCACTTGTCAAAGTATAGTTTTTTAATATTTTTTTTCAAATGTGATTTTTTTAAAAAATTTTCCAGACAAATTTTTTTAAGTCAGAGAACAAAAAAAATATGTTTTCCCAAAATTTTATCCCCTACCCTACTCTCTTAAGTCAAAGAGGCAACGTAAAGGTAAAACCTCCCACCTCCTTTTCCTCTCCCATTCTTTCGTTAAAATCCTTCCAAACCCTTCCCCTGTGATCCAAACTGGCAAACACATCCTAAATTAAAAGGGGATTTTCCGTAGAGAAATAGAAACAAGGAAGAGTATTTTTTTTAATTCCTTTTAAAGTACAGAACATATGATATATGACTTTTATTTATAAGCACATGTCACAACTTTAATTCAATCTACAGATTTCATAATAATAGAAGATAATTGTAAGATAATAAAGATAATGGAAGATAACTCAATAAGTTATTAGTTAAAATGGCAAACAAGTCTTATCTATCATAAAAAGGAAAACACGAATTCAAATATCGATAAACGTACTTGTTGGGAGAGTTTTAGTCTTAACGCTTTCGGTCTAATAGAGATTAGTTTGAAGTCTAAAGTGACTCAAAAATACTTTGAATTATACCAAAGAAGAAAGATAATGGAAAATATTGAAGATAATAGAATAAATATGAATCGTATATTATATTCATAACACAGGTTTAATATTTTATAAAATTACTATTATAATTTTTATAAATTAGAATTTTTTTTATTTTGTTTATATTGCTGTTATGAATTTTGCAGAGCAAAATTTTAACAATTTAAATTTATTTATTTATACTTAAAATAATTTTATAAAAAGATTGAAGTTAAAAAATTGATTTTTGTCTATAAAGTTCAACATAATTAATAATTTTTTTTAATAACAATAGATATTGAAATTTTTTGTAGTTACTTTATTTTGTTAGTTGTTTGGTGATATGGCAATTCTGCTTTTATTTTTCTAATTTAATAATGAATATAAAAATTCTGAAAGAGAACAGGAAAAAGTAGAAAACTAGAGAATACCCGAGTCACAATTCCCTGTTCCACTCCTTGAAGTGTTGATCACTGAGAAACCCACATAAGCATACGCACAATCCTGCTTCTCGGGCGCTGGTTTTTGTGTTCCAATATCTGTCTCCTAATCTCAATCGCCTCGACATGCACAAGTTGAACTCTTTCTCAGTTGATCAGTTAAAGCATTAGTCCCTTCCTCTTCTAGATTTCGTCATGGACTCATCACACAAGTACAATAGTTCTCTTGATCAAAATTTTGACGAGATAAACTCTAACTTGGACACTCATTGTTCTCCTGTACAAGCATCGCTGTCTTCTATGGAAACCCAGCACATTCACCCTAGAAAGTATTGTTTTTCTTTCCCCATCTTTTTCTTCATAGTTATTTTTGAAATTTTAAATTTGGCTTTTCATAATGCTTTATGGGTTTCGTTGTAGGTACCAATTAGAAGTGTTTGAAGTAGCAAGAAAACAGAACACAATAGCAGTGTTGGAGACTGGTTCTGGTAAAACCTTCATTGCTGTTATGCTTATAAATGACATTGGCCAGTCTATCAAGTATAGTGGCGTGAAAAAATTGATTATTTTCTTAGCTCCGACTGTTCATCTTGTCAACCAGGTAAGTTCGAAACCGAAAGTTTTTTCCCTTTTAGCTTCGCTTCCTTTTCGTTTGGTTTCTGTCGAAGTTGGTATATTCCACTATCCACTTTAACACCGCAATTTCAGACAGTTGATAGGTGAAATTTCAGACACACTTGTTTGTTACTGGTGTTGAGGACTAAAGTGCAATGTTGGTTCAACGGCAGGTTATGAATTACCTTGTTTTGTGCTTTCAATTTGCAGCAATTTAAGATTATAAAAGATCTTACAAATTTTGACGTCGAAGAATACTACGGGGCTAAAGGAGTTGATACATGGAATTTAGAGAGATGGGAGAAGGAGATCAATGACCATGATGTAAGTTTTCCTGTTGATTTGCTAATGCTATCTCCGAGTTATCACTAAAGTTTTTTTAATGCTTTCATTTTCGTTTGAGTACTGATTGACAGGTTCTGGGCCTGATGGGATTTAGCTTCAGAGCTTAGTAAACATATTACATATGACTTGCATTTTTTTCACTGATAAATCTTGTCATGAGGGATGAAAAATTGTACGATCACATCTTTAAATACCGCGGGTGCTTTTCATTCCCTTTGACTCCATAACTAATTTATTCAAATTCAATATGGGTGCTTTACAGATGCATGTGTATCATAGCTCTTCTACCTATGGATAACGACTTCGCTTCCATGGTGGTTGTCAGGGTCCCCCTCCCCACTTTTGTTTAATTAATTTTTCTATAAATCAATGTGAGTTATATCACTCATCTCTCTTAGTTCTGTTTCTTAGTTAGTTAGCCATGCCAGCTTAGTGATAGCTCATAGTACACGTGTCATTAAGTTTGATCTCCAGACTATTCTGTATATAAGTCATTACGGTAAAAGCATTTCTCAGTTAGTAATAACAGAACCAGATTGTTTCTTCTCCACTTAATCTCTATATTTGGCATGGTATCAGAGTCACTGCCGTCAGCAATGCTCAGATTGTCTGCTACAATAGCATAGTATCGGTGTTGGTTGATCTCCAATTAGGATTGATTGATCAACACAGCTTCATTCTTAGTCGATGACTTTTTCTGCCAATTATTTTAAATTCTAGGGTTTCCTTAGTGGCGTGTATAATATAATTAAAATAATTACATTGCTTGAATTTACTAATTTAGTGTGGAAAATTTTGAACACAAGATTTGCATCTTTGGCGAAGATTCTTAGTGCTCAAATTATAAAATTTAGTGTAGAGTTATACTTTCTTTCTGCTTTATAGGTACTGATTATGACACCCCAGATTCTTTTGGATGCCTTGAGAAAGGCATTCATCAATATAGAAACAGTATGCTTGATAATCATTGATGAATGTCACAGAGCAACTGGCAATCACCCCTATGCAAAAATAATGAAGGTGAGCACTGGGGAACTTTTTCTATTTTCCTTACACTTAATTGTTCATGGTTTTTTGTGTTTTTCTTCTGTGTATGTTTTTTCAATTTGAATGAGAAACGAGTTGCAATATAGAAAAATTTACTATATAGTTGTGTTCTTCTACGGGTGAAGGAATTCTATCACAAGGCTAATGTGAAGCCAAAAATCTTTGGGATGACAGCATCACCGGTAATTAAAAAAGGTAGCTGTATCATGAGCTGAGTTGTTTCTGCTATTGAATATAATTAAAAGAAATTCGTAAATGAATACTATGTGTTACTTCATTCTAGGTGTTTCCTCTACTATGGATTGCAAGGGTCAGATATCAGAGCTTGAAAATATCCTCGAGTCTGAGGTACTATAAATTTCTTGTATTGAATGTATTCAAACTTCTTTTTTGGCTCCATAAACTTAAATGTAGCCTCTATGCTTCTTCAGATATATACAATTGAAGACAGAACAGAGATGGATGCTTGTATCCCTTCTGCAAAAGAGAGCTGTAGATACTATGATCAAGCTCAACCTGCTGCTATGAGTTTGAAATCAAAGATTGAAGCCTTGTGGTCTGAGGTAGTTCTTTTTTATTATTAGACATAATATAGATAATGTACTAAATTCTAACGAATTTTCCTTATGTTATAAAGTTATTTTAAAAAATTATTGATATAAATATTGAAAATAAAAAAATTTAAATTCATCCCTATCCATCCTCCCTGCCCCCAGCAAAGGTAAAAAAAAATCCATCTTGGATCCGTCCTTGATTCTATTATATGTTGATGCGTAAAATGCACCTTCTTGTTTGATTTGCATAATCATTTTATTCTTTTATCAGAAAATATGGGCTGATGTTTATCTGTTTGGACAGTCTGATATCTTCTTGTCAGAACTACAGAAGTCATTGGAAGGTAACTACAAAGATGTGGATGATAAATTTAAGGGCCTCCATAAGCGAATGTCCAACGACCTTGCCAAAATATTGTATTGCCTTGAAGATCTTGGACTTCTATGTACTTATGAGGTATCCATCTTGCTATTAGAAACATGAAAAACGTGCCTAAAAGAAAAAGAACATGGAAAATTGGTATTTCCTCTGATCCTAAATGTAGGAGTTAGTTAAGAGTTTGTTTTGGTGCTAAATATATAAACTCAATTTCTTTTGTCTCCCACATTTATTTTTCCCCAAATTACTCCTATTGATTGCATACATTTTCCAAAGTAAATGATTACAAGGAGGGGTATTTCAGGGAAACCAATACACAATTTTTTATAAATAACTAACTTCTTGAATCTTTGTGAATTAGTTATGTCGAACATTCAGGACCGATGGGAGTATCATTTCCCATTTTAATGTATTCACAGCAGCCATAATTTTTTTACAATTTGTCTAATACAAGATTTTTGACTTCTTGAAACTGGTATATAATTTTTTTTTTGGGATAAATAATGTTGTCTTAATATGTGAATTATTGCGAATGACATCAAAGATTTCATCTCTATCCTACATAAATTCTTTTTGGTCATCTCCATGTGATTGTGTGTGTGTGTTTGTTAATGTGCCTGCAGGCTGTCCAAATATCTCTTGAGAAATTCCACAGCATAGAGGACGAGCATGAAGCATACCGTAAAGGTTTTTTGCATTGCAAATATTTCCTTGAAAACGTGATGCAAATAGTTGGGGAATCTCTTCCTCTGGGTAGGCATTTTAGAAGATTTCATTTATTCATTTTGCCCCATATCTTTTGAATCTATGATCATTGTTGAGATCACAAGTATCGTGCAGGGGACAAACTAATGTTTTGTTCATCCATCACTTATATTAGTCAAGCAATCATAACAAACTCTATTTAATTGAAAATCTTTACTATGTATATTTAGGCAGGTTTTACATTAATTTTGATATTTAGACAGTCCTCTGTGGTGAGCATATGAGGTTTCAATATAATGCCTTAAGCTGCTTTCCCCCTTTTATTATGTTGTCTTTTAAGGTTGATGTAGACTTAGCTTAGATAGTATGTGATACTTGAGTTCCACATTGAGTGGTATGAGATACTCATTTGGGTATTTAGAACCCATCAAGTGGTATTAGAAACTGTTCCAATATGGAGTGTTCTGATTGGTGAAGGGTTTTGATAGAGAAGGAAATTGAGAAGTTGAGCGAGATGTTGTAAAGTGCAGCCGTTCGGATGTCAACTCTCCAAGGGGGTATTGATGGAGACTTAGGTAGTATAGGATACCCAAATCCCTCATTGAGTAGTATGGTATGCGCAATGTGGTATGTATGTGGGTTTCCCCATCCCACTTAGGTATCAATCAAAGGTACTCTGCAGTAGCAATTGTACTTTCCTCTTGCATCTTTTTCTTGGAGATAAATCTTTTTTTGAAGCCTATTGTCAGTGGTTAGCATAAAATGTTTTGGTGATATTTAGTTATTTTAATTAAATGTTATTTGGGTTTTAATTATTTTTGGATTGGCATTTTTATCTATTTTGGATTAGGATTAGCTCAAGTATTTTGTTTTAGTCAGGATAAAGTTATCCTATTTTGATTAGGATGAGGTTACTTTAAATATCTTGGTTAGATAGAGATTATCGCTTAATTAATTGAGAGCTCGATCTCTTTCTTTTAATGTCTGAAAATGTAACTATTTTCTTTCAATAAAAGTATGTTCCGGGGATTATTAGATGTTGAATTCGTACTGTGTGTAGATATGTATATGTGGATGAGTGCATTAACAAATGAATGCATGTCTATTTGTTTTGCTGCATGTCTACTGTCGATCTTGTTTGACGTATTTTTTATAACCACATTGCCTTTGTAATGCTAATAATTTCATTTTGTTCGTTTTCACTAAGGATTATACTATCATTGACATTTTCATAATTAAATCTCTGCAGCTGACAAAAGCCCTTTGGAGGTAGGATTTGACTATACAGGAGCAGTAACTTTGGGTTACATATCTCCAAAATTACATGAACTTATTCAAATCTTCCAATCCTTTGGGTACAGAAATTTGGATATTGATATTTTACAATAAAGTTCCATTTGACATTATGATCTTTGTCTTGTGAATATTTTTGGGACAATTACAATGAGGTCCCTGGGAAGAAAAATAATTACTAAAAGTCCCAATAACAATCTAAACAGCTTGTAATGACAAGTTTCAGAGTAGGAAATGACAACTTCTGGGACTTGTTTTGTAATTATTTTCCTTTCTTGGGACCTCATTGTGATTCTCGCAATATTTTTCCTTTTGCAGGTTTCATTTCACATTATATGATCATTGATCTTCATTCCTATGTTTTTTCTTGCAGAAAATCTAGTCATGTGTCATGCCTTATTTTTGTTGAGAGGATAATCACAGCTAAGGTGATTGAAAGGTTTGTAAGAAAAGTTTCGCAGTTATCTCATTTCGCAGTTTCATATGTAACTGGAAGCAATACATCAAATGATTCACTGGCATTAAAGAGGCAGAAGGAAACATTGGATTCATTTCGCACAGGAAAGGTATTGAATCACTGCATCATTTGGGTCAGATTGTTCACAATGTGGGTGTTTTGAAATATTATTATAGATTATTAGTTCTTTTCATTTAGGTCAATCTATTATTTACCACTGACGTAATTGAGGAAGGAATCCATGTCCCCGGCTGCTCTTCTGTTATACGTTTTGATCTACCAAAAACAATTCGTAGTTATGTCCAATCGAGGGGACGGGCTAGGCAGGCCAACTCTCAGTTTATTATGATGTTGGAAAGGTGAGGTGTATATCTTGATGAGATGAACTTAGAAGTTTTTGGAAGCTGGAGACATCTTACTTTGAAAAATCTGGTGTATATTCTCAATTGTGCATCATATTGTTAACTGTATCTTTAGGGGAAACTCGAAGCATATAAGTCAACTGTTTGACATAATCAAGAGTGAGCGTTTCATGACCGATGACTCTCTTAATAGTGGCTTCAGCATTTTCACCCCAAGGGCTTGTACAGTAGAAGAAGCAATCACATACTCTGTGGATTCTACTGGAGCATCGGTCACGTCAGATTCTAGTGTTACTCTCATTCATCAATACTGTGGAAAGCTCAAAGGAGATATGTAAGAATATTTTCAATTGTTTTTCTTTTCTTTTAACTCCTTAATGATGTTTTTCGCCTACTAAACAAACTTCATCACATGCTCTTGTAGTTGTATTCTATGTAACTCTCATTGTTTGTATCAGGTACTTCAATCCAAAGCCAATTTTTGAGAGTTTTGACGTGGAAGGTGGTTACCAGTGCAAGTTGTCATTGCCTCCTAATGCAGCTTTTCAAACTATAGTTGGTCCCTTAGGCAGAAATGCTCATTTGGCAAAACAGCTTGTATGTTTAGAAGCATGTAAGAAGCTCCATAAAATGGGTGCTTTGGATGATCATCTTCGCCCGTCAGTTGAAGAACCTCTGGTACAGGTTCAAACTGTAAAAAGCAAGAAAACAAGTTCAGGTGCAGGTATTAGTTTTCTGCTAATTAAATATGTTATCTTTTGTTATCAATTAAACTTAAATATTATGTTCAATTCAATATGACAGTACCATTGTTGCAAACAATGTTGTTCAAAGTATTTTACTGTACAGCCTGAGACTTTAATTTTTGTTTTCTAATTGGATGTGGAGCATGATGTATCTGATTGGCCATAAAACTTCGTGGGCATGCCAATGAGAGGAAGGTTGGTTTGCCTATATGGCACTCATGCCTACCAGCTTCAGACACATCCTAGTGTGCCAGCCATCTTTTTCCTTGGGGTTTGGGGGTGGCTGTATAGGGACAGATGCTGAATCGTGCTTTGTGGAGGCATGAGGTTGTCTGGCTTTCCAGTGGATCTAGTTAGGTATGAATGCATTTTGATTTTGTTTGCTTCTCGTATTTGAAGGAACTACAAAAAGGAAGGAGTTGCATGGCTCAGCTAGCATTCGTGCTTTATGTGGGACTTGGAAAGATAAACTTGATGGAGCCATATTTCATGCCTATACGTTTGATTTCACCTGTAATGTTCTTCATGATATGTACTCTGGATTTGTTCTGCTGATTGAGTCAAAGCTTGATGATGATGTTGGAAATTTTGAATTAGAACTCTACTTGATCTCAAAGATTGTGAAGACTTCAGTCTCATCATGTGGCCAAGTGCATTTGGATGCTGAACAGGTATTGAAATGTGAGCTTTATTTGATGTAGGAATTATGAAAGGGGAAATACATATTACCCTTTTAACCAACACTTAGTTACAAATTGAGTGAACTTTAAAATGTAACAGAAACGCCCACCTCCTTTTCATTGGGAACAGAAGAACATCCACATTAATTAGATTAGTTTACTATAATTATAACTAGGCTTTCAAGTGGTAAAATGTATTTTCCCATGTATGAAATGCTTTAATCCAGATGTTTCCGTTGAAATTTAACTGCATTTTGTTTTCTTTTATTTATCAGATGAAGAATGCAAAATCTTTTCATGAACTTCTTTACAATGGTGTTTTTGGGAGATTAGTTTTTCGGTCCAAAGAAGGAGGAGGAAGGAAATTTCTTCTTCAGGATGAAACGTCGTCATTGTGGACTCCATCAAACTTATATTTGCTTCTACCTCTTGAAAAAGATGGTATTGATGAGGAATCTTTGAAAATCAACTGGGCAGGAATCAATTCTTGTGCTTCTGCTATTGAATTTATGCGGAAAAGGTGTTCTCTGGGCATTGACCATTGCAATGATTACAGAAAAAACTTACCATCCCATGATATCAGTTTGTTGGAGGCAGATTGTGGGGGCAGAGAAAAGATTCATTTCGCTAATTTTGTGCTTGATGTTAACAATGTCAAAGATATGGTAGTTTTGGCCATCCACACTGGAAGAATATACTGTATAATTGAAGTTGCTCATGACCTGTGTGCTGAAAGTCCTTTTGATGGCACCACTGAGGATGTGGCTGCAGCAGAGCGTATTACCTTCTCAGATTATTACAGCAAAAGGTACTGCAATGTTCACTGCCAAGATGCCTGTGCCCCCTCCTTTCCCTTGCTGCGCTTCATTTCCTATATCATTTTGTGGTTAACTAAACAAGTTGAAGTTCATCAGGTATGGGATTACACTGAGACATCCAGGGCAGCCTTTGCTGCTTTTGAGGCAAAGTCATAATCCACACAACCTTCTTGTGAACTTCAATGAGGATGGTTAGTTAACTAGTTTGAATTTCAAAATCTTACTGGTAGTAGAATATTGGTGAAATAATTGTGTTTTAATCTGATTCTATTACAGCCAATAATTACTATACAAGAACTGAGGAGCAAATGCTTCTTAATCCTTGGCCTAGCAGAATAGGAAACAATTGAAACATTCATTCTATACAACCTCTATACAATTAGAACCATAAAGGACTAATAACAACTAGCTGACTTACCATTAAAGGAAATGACTACCCTTGTGAATTTGTCCATTAGGTAATAAATAAGGAATTTCACATTCACCTTCAAGCTTAGAGAACAAGGGCCTGTTTATTTAAGATTAAAAGAATAAATGCCTCTCAACTTATTTAGAGATTTTGTCAAAAGTAATTTGTTTCTTTAGAGATCTTATGAAAAGAAGAGATTATTTTTCATTTGATCATCACCATAAAAAATTATCTTTTTATAATTTTTAAATTTTATAATATCTTTATGTATGATTATATGTATTTTCATCAACATTCTCTCATTTACTGCCTGTGGTTATTTTCAAAAGTTACTCAAGAGTGTCTTTTCAAAATAATTAGAAACTTGATGTTTTTAGGTTCTGATTTTTTTTTTTAAAGAAAAAAACTTGAATATTCCAGAATTCCTTAAAAGTTTGTCTTTTAGAAAAAGAATTTTTCTTTAAAAAAATTTATACAAACAAGCGCTTATTTTTCTCTATATGTAGCTTGGATAGCTGAGTATCAATCTAGATTCTTGTAGAAGACTTGATTAGGACATCGGCAGTTTGAAGTGTCAGTTTTCATAAATAGCTCAAGGCCCTTGAATCTCGACATGTTTATGTCAGCAAATTTTTGTGTATTTTTGGGACGTACCTGGTATTCTGGAAATAAAGAAGCATCTCTTATCTTATGGTGCTTTGGAGTCTATCATCCTGGTGGTTGCATCTTTTGCCTGATGAAGGCACTCAAAAGCTTAGTGATGGAGCATTGAAAATCTATGCTAGGCATAGGAAAACCTATAATTTAATTGTTTATGTTCAATGACTATCTTTATGTGGTGTTAGTCATACTTTTTACGTTATCTTTATTTAGGTTTAAAATAATTTGACATAAGGCTTTATCTTGTTTTATCGTATCTAGGTTTAAGTTTGTTTAAACCATCATCATCTTTAATATTGTACTGGGTTTTTATGATTAGCCCTAGGTAGCGTCATATTGGAGAAAAAAGGAGATGAAATGACCTTTCATGTTATCTTATCATAATGGAATAGTAAGGAAGGGTGACAATGACAAGTGTAGGAAAAGCCTTTTCCACTCCTAGCTACTCCCTCTTCCTGTTATAATAATTATTTATTTATTTATTTAGTTATTATTGGCTTAGGTGCTTCAATTCTTGGCCCAGTAAAGCCCAATCATTCCCAACTGGGTTTCCCAAATTTTCATCACAATTACCTTTGTTAGGATTTTCAAGCTTACTAATATTAGTTTAATTTTCAGAAATTCTTCTAAATCTTGAACAATTTCCAACAATAATTCTTGTATTTTCCCTATTAGGGGACTTTTTCTTTGCCTTAAATCTAACCCCTCGGGTTGGGAATATATTCTTAGGCTAATAAGAAATGGCCATGTTACAAATTCCCCTGATCCTTTGCTAATAGCCTGAATAAGGAATCTTGTACATTCCATAGAAAATTAAAAGTAATAGTTAAGACTAGTAAAAAAACAATTGATTCGCCATAAAGGAAATGAACATCCCAATACATTCGTGATTCATTTGGAGATAAAACAGCACCATTTGGTGTTTGGTATTATGTTATCCAAAACAATCATGAAATTTTTACGGCTAAGTTCATATATCTCATGAAAAACATTAGGGCCAGTGCACTTTTGAAAACTTCTTGAAAATTGTGGAAGATGCTCTGAACTGAAAGCTTCCTTAAGCTTGCAATTTATCCTGAACCAACCAATCTTGCAATTTATGCTGAAGTAGAACTAAATTTTAGAGGGTACTTAGAATAGAGGGTTTCATAGTTTTTGGATTATCCCCTAATAGAAAACTAAAAAACTTGTTATTTATTTATTTTTAATCAACAGTTGTCCGCTTGGACTGTGCTCTATATAGTTAAACCTCCCTTTCAGTGGAGCCAAATTGTTAAATGTAATTTCCAATGTTTATTGACTTAGTGGATTTATTTTAATAAAAGTATGATCTATTATCCATAAATTTCAACGTCTTCGAAATTTTGCTTCTACTTATTTTAATAATAAGCTATGATCAGGTGCCGATGAAAGCTAATATTTATCCTGAACCAACCAATCCTGCGATTTATGCTGAAGTAGAGCTAAATTTTACAGGGTACTTAGAAGAGAGGGTTTCATAATTTTTGGATTATCCCCTAATAGAAAACTAAAAAACTTTAGTTTTTTTATCAACAGTTGTCCGCTTGGGCTGTGCTCTATAAAGTTAAACTTCACTTTCAGTGGAGCGAAATTCTTAAATGTAATCCAATGCTTATTGACTTAGTGGATTTATTTTAATGAAATTATATGCTCTATTATTCATAAATTTCAATGTCTTCAAAATTTTGCTTTTACTTGACACACACACATACACATTTGAGCAGATACTCTAGGTAAGTCTCCAGAAGGTGGCCTGGTAACCCAAAAAGCACGAGCTCATGTTCACATTCCACCGGAGCTTCTCTGCACCCTTGATGTTCGAAGGGATGTGTTAAAGTCACTTTACCTGCTTCCGTCTTTGATGCACCGCCTTGAATCATTTATGCTAGCCAGTCAACTTAGACAAGAGGTGGCTGGCCAAGATAACAACTACAACATACCTAGCTCTCTGGTTTGTATAGTTTTCCTATTTACTTGTTTTACATGGAAAAGATAATCCTTCTATTTTCTCTGTTTCAATTGTACATATTATCTCTTACAATGTCAGATTTTAGAAGCACTTACAACTGTAAGATGCTGTGAAAAGTTTTCTATGGAACGTCTTGAGTTGCTTGGAGATTCCGTCCTCAAGTATGCTGTAAGTTGTCATCTCTTTCTCAAATATCCAAAGAAGCACGAAGGACAATTATCTGCTCAGCGCACAGCGGCGGTGTGTAACTCAACCCTACATAAATGTGGAACAGATCATAAAATACAGGTAAATTCTCCTATAGTTATTTTTCAATTGGCCACCTGATGGAATATAGGAATTAATATCTTGAGGAAACCTAGCTTGCTTTAATATTTAATTTTATTTTATGTCATAACTAGCAAGTGGCTTATGTTTTATGTTTTAATTTATGTAATATCGTAGATGTTTCTTCCGAGAGTGGAAGCTTAGGCAAGTAGCTGATTATGTTTGAATGTTTTTATTTTGCTTTTTGATTCCTTCATGAGAAGGAAACCTTTTCTATATATAGATGTTAGGCAGCATATGTAAGGAGACTTTTGATGATTGAAAATTGTGATGGCTTAGCTGCTCTCTCTCCCTTTTCTGTGCTGCCTCAACTCTCCTGCTCAGTTTCTGTTCTCTCTCCCTTTCTTCTCCCTATTCTGTTCATTCTTTCCCTTTCCCTCCTCTGTTTCTATTTTCCTCCCTAAAACCCATTCAGTTCTGCAAAATATTTGAGAGTGTGTGGGTGTGTGACATCACTACCGTGACAAGAACAAGTTTTCCTTGAAGCTTAAGCTCATGCGTGCAGATAGCCAAAAGGGGCTTGAACTGTGAACAATGAATAGGTTCACTGCTATGACGGACCAAAAGTCATCACAAAAGGGAAAAAGAAATATTAATCCTTGGTTATAAAGATATTCCATCCACAAAATTGAGGTCTATTAATCTGAATGTTTTTTCAACTCATCTGCTCCCCATCGAGCTTTTATTCAAGAAAGTGCAATTCTTGTGGTCACTAATATTTTCCTTTTACTTAGAACTTTTGTAATCTGGTTATATCTGAATTCAAAGCTTATGAAAATGATCATTTTAGTCATGCCTTAATATAAGACTAAGAAAACTCCTCTTTAAATGTCTGAACACTCCTTTTCTTTGAATTCCAGTCGTTGTTGATTCAATAAGTGCACAAGTTGTATTCCATCCAAATGGTGCTGCAATGGATCCAGTTAATACTTTTTTTTTCCCCGTTTTCTTCAATAGGAATATATTCGTGACTTTGCATTTGAGCCCCGCCGGTGGGTCGCTCCGGGACAGAATTCTATACATACTGTTCATTGTAAATGTGGGGTGGAAAACCTTGAAGTGCCTTTAGACGAAAAGTTTCAAAGTGAAGATCCAAAAATTGTGGTTGGGAAGTTCTGTGACAGACGTCACCGTTGGATATGTTCAAAGACTATTGCAGATTGTGTTGAAGCTCTGATAGGTGCATATTATGTGGGTGGTGGACTACTTGCTTCACTTCATGTGATGAAGTGGCTTGGAATTTGTGCTGGTCTTGAACCATCTTTGGTTGATGAAGCAATTACTGTTGCTTCTCTTCACATATACTCACCAAAAGAAAATGAGATTGCAAGTCTTGAAGCTAAAATTGGGTATAAATTTTCTGTCAAAGGACTCTTGCTAGAGGCAATCACACATGCATCTGAGAATGAACTTGGGGGTGGCTATTGTTATGAGGTAACTATAAAATATGTCTGGCAATGTTGAACTGCTTCTGTTAATTTTCTTTTGGGTTTTACTAGTGGAGCTTATATACTCCCAAGTGAACATACAGTTAGATTTATATGTCAAAGTTCAATATGATGTTCCTCTAACTTTATATGGTATGGCAGAGGCTTGAGTTTCTTGGCGATTCGGTATTGGATCTGCTTATCACATGGCATCTATATCAGAGTCATACAAGCATTGATCCAGGGGAATTAACTGACTTGCGAGCTGCTTCTGTCAATAACGAAAACTTTGCTCAAGTTGCAGTCAGACAAAATCTGCAACAGTATCTTCTGCATAGCTCAGATTTATTACTTGGCCAAATAAATGATTATGTCAGGGCGCTCTCTGAATCAAACATGACGAAGTCACTTCCAGGCTTTAAAGGACCTAAGGTTACTGATGATTCTTTTTTTTTTTTGGGGAAAATATGGCTAGTTAAGCCGTTGTTTTGTTGGAATTTTTTCTTCTTTCTTTTTATCATCATTTTTAATTAATTATCATTTGTCTGTTTTTGACACAGGTACTTGGGGATTTAGTAGAAAGTATTGCCGGGGCCATACTAATTGACACCAAACTTAATCTTGATGAAGTGTGGAAAGTTTTCAAGCCTCTATTATCTCCCATTGTCACTCCTGATAAACTTGAACTGCCTCCATTACGTGAGCTACTCGAATTATCCAGCTCTCTTGGGTATTTTGTAAAAGAAAAATGTAAGATGAAGGGAGATATGGTGCATGCAGAGCTTAGTTTACAGCTTCAAGATGTCCTGTTGGTTCGAGAGGGATGGGGCCCAAATAGGAAAACAGCAAAAGGAGAAGCTGCCTTTCATTTACTAAAGGAACTTGAGGTATTCTTTGCTTCTCTAATGCTTTTGCTGTCTTCCTTTTTGTATCAAATTTTCTAAAATATATGGTATGCGGCATTAAAAATAAAACGTACAAGCTGTTGTTTTTGCCCATCTGTATGCTTTATATACATTGTTTATCATATTTGGAGGTGTTCAAGAATTTGTTTTAGGCCAACACTAATTCTCTCATGTAATTTAACTGGAACCAATTCAAAAGCTATGCTTTGATATTTAAAAACTTGTTGACCAAGTTTATCATAGTGGCTTTTTTGGTAAAAAATTCTGTTGAGTCGAAGTCTGGGAACTGACCAGAGCTATGACAAATTTTACAGCTCAAACCGTTCACAGATATACCTTCAAATTATGGACTAACAAGAATTTGTCACTTTGGCTGAAGACTCAAACCTTTTCTCTTGGGTATTGGATTTGTCCTTACCAAGTAGATTAACTTTGGTCAATAATATTGTGCATGCTTAGGAAACTAAAAATTGTCAAAATATTTCCTCGTGATGGAATATGGAGGTAGATTTTTCAAAGAGAAAAAGGTATTATTGGTAAAGCAATATCGACTGTCACCATCCGGCCTGGCAGTGTTTCACTAGGACTTTAGTTTTTGTCAACTGGGAAAGTGTTGGTGCACCCCATCTTTTGCTCAAAGAGAGCATCTTCTGAATTACATTTCCATTGTACATAACACAAGGTATATTTGATTCTACACCAGCATCAGAAATGAACCAGACAGACCCGTGTCCATTTACATTTGTTTGCTAAAACCACTAGATTTGCTGTCCAACTGAAATCAGCTTGATTGGAATCTGGGTTACTTTTGATATGCTAGTTTTTTGATTGTGTTGATCTGTTTATTTTGTTACAGCAATAACGGTATCTGCTCATATTGGCAGTGATATATGGGAATCAGGAATAGTAAGGAGAGTTTGGGATCCGGGGGTATTTTGGGTTAAGTAGCTTAATTTCTATAAACAGGGTCTTGAGTGTAAAGTGGGGTTTGTGAATATATATATATATATATATATATATATGCATATATATTATTTTGATCTCATTTCAGTGGTCTGTATATTTTGCTGACTACATAGTTTACATTTTTGTCCTTGAAATGGCAGAAGAGGGGAATTTCACACAGTAATAGTGGGACCAAGAGAAAAAGAGATAATCCTGATCATTTCTTCGATTCTTCTTCTGGGAAGAAGGAATTTAGTATTTGCGCTGGTCTACGTGATGAGCATGTCTCAGAGCCACTAACGTATAAGAGGGCCAAGAAGGACAAAACTAATCTATCAGCTCCCAATGACCTTCCAACGGAACTCTCTGATCCCAATGATGCAATTCCAGGTTTGCGCCATCAATCTTTTCTCTGTTATCCCCTAATCTTTGAAGCCCTCGAAACTGTCTTTGATTCCTTGCATTTATATATCAAGGATGAGGAGCTGCTCTCTAACAACTAAATCAACGTCTTTTGTTGATTTATATTTACAGTTATTGCATCAATCAATATGAAGAAGGGAGGACCCAGGACCACCCTATTTGAGCTATGCAAGAGACTACAATGGCCAATGCCTACATTTGACTCAGCGGAACTCAAACAGAGGTGAGTTGACTCTGTTCTTTCTTATGTCAAACTTGTTGCTAATGGCCTTTGCAGTACTTTACATAAACATGGCATGATATAACTTTTGGCCCCCCTGAATTTTTCTTCAATTATTGATTCAATCTTTGAACTTTGACTCAAAACAACTCAGTCCCTGTAGTTGAGACTCAAAACAACTCGGTCATCATAATTCCTTAAAAGAGAGGAAAGAATGGAGACTGGAGAGGACATCTTGTTCTGTTTGGGTAATTGTGATCATAAATCCGGCCTTTATCATTATTATTATTTTTTCTTTTCTTTCTTTGTTTTTTTTTTTCCAGGACTCCATTTGAATTTGGTGAAGGTTCAGAAAGAAGAAAAGGATACATCTGTTTTGTGTCAAGCATACAACTGTGCATACCCAATTATGGTAATATCGATTGTAGAGGAGACTCCAGAGCGGATAAGAAGAGTTCACTTGACTCTGCTGCATTAGAAATGCTCTATGAGCTACAACGACTGGGAAAACTCAAGATTGGTGATTTCTAACCGCGGCAACGTTTTAGAGGAATCATCCCAAGCACGACGAAAATAGAGTGGAGAAAAAATTTTAATGAATTCAATTTAAAAAAAAATTTAAAGAAGCGAGGTTAAAAGTTTTAACCTTACTACATTTCATCAAAATTTCATAACACTTCTTTAATCTTTTTAAATCAGACTCATAAGATTTTTCCTTCCTTCCTTTCATTTTCCTCATACCAAGTATAAGGTAAGAGCTTGATTGGTCGTCCTGTATGTTAGTGTTGTAGCACCCAAATTGTATAATAGTGTAAATGGGATGAATAAAAGCTTACGACCTTGATAAAAACTCTTGATGCTTCAGCCCTTTTTTTTTTTATTCTTTTGGGAATAATCAAGGCAAGCTAAAAGAATCTTGGAGATATCAGAAACTAATAACCAAAAAAAGAAAAAAAGCCTAAGTAACACGAATTTTGTCTTCCTGGAGTATGGTCTTGATCCCCCGACCGGGAGCACTCGAGAACAAAGCGTTTCATAGCCTGCACAGCGTGCTGTTCTGGCCATATGATCGCTGCGTTAGCCGTTTACTAGTTCGACAATTGATAGCCGTTTTTTTTTTGTTGAAAAAATTATAAATGAAGACCCCTCAATATATAAAATTATGGTTTGAGTCCCTTAATTTGGAAAACAGTAAATAAGAATTCAATCCTGTTTTTGTAAATATGAAATCGTGGTGAAATGTTTAAAATGTTTCTCAGTCAAATAACAAGTTGACTATGGAAAATAACAAGTTCATTTTAGCAAATGATAATTTTAGTAAACCAAATCATAATTTGGCTGAGGATATATCAAATAACAAGTTGATTATGTGAAAGATCAAGTGCAATGAATTACTAAACATGAAAATTGTAAATAAGCTGTGATCAAATCTTAGTAATTAACTTATAATACCCATTTATTTAATTAAAAAAAATTGAGTTAAATTATTTTCTTTAATCATGTGTATTAAAACTACTTCTTAGTCGAAAAACCCTTACAATCAGTAAGAATTTGAGAAATGAAATTAATTGAAATCTTCTATTTATAACTAAATTTAACGTCTAATTAAATTTTATATTAAGAAAAAGGGCTAGTATATTAAAATGCTAGAGGTAGGGGGATTAAATGCTGATTACCAGAGAGTTGGGTTTAGGAAAAAGAATTAGAAGGGAAAAAATGCAGCTCTTCTCCCAAAACCGCGTTCCCCGTTCTTCTTGTGCTCTGTCCATCCACGCCGTTCTTCGCCGCGTCCTCCCTCCTTTACGTCCAGAAACTCCACTTTTCTTTCTTCTTCTTCTTCCAGTATCTGGTAATGAGTGGCGGCTCTCTTCTTTCTTTCTTTCTTTCTTCTCTTTCATTCTCAAGCAAACCAGCACTCTATTCCTTCTTCATTTTTGTTTTAATTTGCTGGGTAGAAGATTAAATTCATTGACGCAAATTGAAGGTGTTGTGAATTCATTTTGATAGGTGCGTCCGTGCGTATTTCACCGTTGGAAATTTTTATTCCATAGTTGCTTGCTGTTTCTCGCTGCTTGTTGTTTCACCATTAGAAATTCTCTTCATGCAAATTACCTGCCTAATGAAACGACTTCCTTGTCCTTTATAGGCATAAGGTATTCAACGGTCACTAAGAAACGTCCTCTATATAACTACCCTGGCTAATTTCTTTTTTATTTGACAATTGTTATATCAGCATGCCAAAATGAACAAAAACGAAGGAAAAATAAACTATACTAGCCACTGATACTTACTGAAACAATTGACTCTCATAGTTCACTGGCTTTGCACCCTTCTCAAGCCTAAGCTTTTAATCTGCAATTCTTCTCAGATATTCAGAATTCTGAGCCTCCATGGCGTCCAAGATGAGGCATCTCAAGGTGCACATGAAGACTCTTCCTTTCCTTTTCTGGTCTACAAGAAGCTTCCGTTCTCCGTACTACTCTGGAAACGGCCCTTTGATAAGCTGCTTCCGTCAAAACGTGTATTCTTGTAGAAGTTGCTCTTTCCATACCCATAAAGATGTGAATTTTATCGCACCAACAAAGATGCATCTCTATGCTTCATTATTTTGTACCCTCATTCACCTCTACTTGGCATGCGGAAAGTTCGTCAGAGCTTCTGATGCCTTCTTTTTTATGCGAAGTCTTGGTCTTGTTCCTACATTGCCTATGTGGAACCAACTTTTATGTGAATTCAATGTCGCAGGCTTGGTTTCTCAGGTAGGGCTTTTGTATTCTGATATGGTCTCCTGTGGGATTGTGCCGAGTGTTTACAGTGTTAACATATTGGTCCACTCACTGTGCAAAGTAGGGAATCTGGATTTGGCTTTAGGATATGTTAGGAGAAATGAAATTGATACTGTTACCTATAATACCATCATTTTGGGTTTCTGTGCCCAAGGATTAGCTAATCAAGGTTTTGGGCTGTTATCTGAAATGGTTAAAAAGGGCATTAGTATTGATCCTTTTACTTGTAATATACTTGTTAAAGGGTATGGCAGAATTGGATTGGTGAAGTATGCAGAGTGGGTGATGCACAATCTTGTGGATGGGGGGATTCCACAGGACATTATTGGTCTTGACACCTTAATTGATGGATATTGTAAAGCTGGGTTAATGAATCATGCACTAACTTTGATGGCGAATGGATGGAGGGATGGTCTTCTGCCTGATATTGTTGCTTATAATACTTTTCTTAATGCTTTTTGCAAAATGGATAATGTTGTGAGGGCCAAGTCTCTTACTGATGAGATTTTTGGCCATCAAATGAACACAGAATGCGAACAATTTGAAAATTTTGATATGCAAAGTCCAGATGAGAACAGAGAGTTGCAGCCAACCCTCACTACTTATACCACGTTAATTACTGCATATTGTAAGCAACAAGGAATTGAAGAAGCCCTTTCTCTGTATAAGCAAATGATCAAGAATGGGATCATTCCTGATGTGGTTACTTATAGTTCTCTTCTTCATGGGCTTTGTAGACATGGGAGATTAAATGAAGCAGCACTGTTATTGAAGGAGATGGATAAAATGGGTTTGAATCCTAATCATATCTCGTACTCTATTGTTATGAACTACTTGTTCAAGTCAGGAAGGTCGGTGGAAGCTTTGAATCTTCTAAGCCATTTGGTTGTTCGGGGCATTTCTTTTGATCTAGTTCTGTGTACAACTATAATGAATGGCCTTTCTAAGGTTGGAAAGATCGAAGAGGCTGAAGACATGTTCCAAACTATTTTAAAACTTAATCTTATTCCAAACTGTGTGACCTATTCTGCACTCCTGGATGGGTACTGGAACTTGGGAAACATGGACTATGCAGATTTGTTGTTGCAACAAATGGAGAGGGAACGTATTCTGCCAAATGTTGTTACTTATTCTTCTATTATAAATGGATATGTTAAAAAGGGAATGCTTAGTGAAGCTGTTGATGTGTTAAGGAAGATGGTCAAGCAAAATATTTCACCAAATGTTTTTGTTTATGCAATTTTATTAGATGGCTATTTCAAAGAAGGAAAACAAGAGGTTGCATTTGATTTCTATAAGGAAATGCAATCACAGGGATTGAAGGAAAACAATATTATATTTGATGTTCTCTTGAACAACTTGAAGAGACTGGGGAGGATGGAAGATGCTAAGTCATTAATGAAAGATATGTGCTCTTGGGATCTTTCACCAGATTTGTTTAACTACACTTCTGTAATGGATTGCTACTTCAAAGAAGGAAATGAGTCAGCAGCCCTAAGTGTAGTCCAGGAAATGGAAGACAAAAATATAAAGCTTGATGTTGCTGCATACAATGCTTTAATCAATGGCCTTCTGAGGCTTGGGAAATATGAACCTCAGTCTGTGTTTTCAACTATGTTAGAGTTGGGTTTGGCTCCAACTTGTGCTACATATAACACTGTAATCAATGCATGCTGCAGGAAAGGTAACGCAGAAAATGCTTTGAATTTCTTGAGTGAGATGAAGCACCATGGGGTAATGCCAAATGCAACCACTTACAACATTCTGATATTTGGGCTTTGTAAAACCGGGGCAATTGAAAAGGCATTGGATGTTTTTAATGAAATGTTGGTTATGGGGTTTCCTCCTGTCTTTAATACTCATAAGTTTCTGCTTGAAGCATCTTCAAAGGATATGAAAGCAGATACAATTTTGCAAATTCACAAGAGGCTTGTGGATATGGGGCTCAAACTTGATAGAACAGTGTATAACAATCTTCTTGCTGTACTATGCAGGTTAGGGATGACTAGGAAAGCAACTTCAGTTCTTAATGAAATGATGGGAAGGGGAATTTTAGCTGATACTGTAACGTACAATGCCTTTATCCATGGTTACTGCGTAAGCAAGAATGTGGATAAGGCTTTAGCTACTTATTCACAGATGTTGATTGATGGAATCTCTCCAAATGTTACTACTTACAATTATCTTTTAGGGGGTCTTTCAACTGCTGGTTTGATGAGAGAAGCAGATGAATTGGTTTGTGAGATGAAGGAAAGAGGACTTGCCCCAAATGCTGCTACTTATAATATATTGGTTTCTGGCCATGGTAGGGTTGGAAATAAATTGGACTCTATAAAACTTTATTGTGAGATGATAAACAAAGGTTTTGTTCCCAACACTGGAACCTATAATGTGCTTATTTATGATTACGCTAAAGCAGGAAAGATGCCCCAAGCTAGGGAACTTTTGAATGAGATGCTGACGAGAGGAAGAACTGCTAATTCTTCAACTTACGATATTTTGATTTCTGGGTGGTTCAAACTATCCAATCAGCCAGAACTGGATAGGGCACTTAAACAGTCATATCTGTCTGAGGCAAAAAGATTGCTGAGAGAAATGTATGAAAAAGGATTTGTGCCATCTGAGAGCACCCTTTCACACTTTTCAAAGCCGGGAAAAAGGTCTGAAGCTAAAAGGCTATTGAAGGTACTTAGGAAAAGGAAGAACGAGGGAGAAATGGTCTAGCAACATGAAACTGCAGCTCCAATTCCTAGGTAATTGAGTTTCCAGATGTTCAATAATCTCCGATGAGAAAATTGAGGGAAAGGCCAAAGGAGCACCCGAGTTGTAAATGATTTGTAATGGTTAAGTGTATGTGTGAGGGTTGATCTTACCGTTAATAAGTAGGAGGAGAGAGGAGAATCAATACACAGATTGTTTATACAAGTTCAGTCAATATCCACAAGACTTACGTTGAGTTCTCAAATAGCTTCCAAGTGTTTAACCATGTTCTAATTCTATCGGGCTCTTGTTGCTTTAACACAGCGTCTCAGACTCTTCAGTCTGCTAAATCACTTCTTGGCTGCCACCACCCTCAAACCTATTTAAACTCAATATTGATGGTGCAAGATCAGAAACATCACAAACTGCAGTTTGTGGTCGTGTTCTTCGAGATCATCATGGGACTTGGATCGTTGGCTTTTCAAGTTATCTGGGTAATCGTTTTGTGTATGAAGCTGAGGAATGGACACTTCTTAAGGGGCTACGCTTAGCTTGGGATATGGGGTTTAAAAACCTCATAGTGGAACCTGATAACAAGACCCTTATTGACTTGATGCTACGTCTCTAAGAGAAATGTGACTAGCTCCCCAACGTTTCTGGAAATTGAGCTTTTCCTATACATGACAAGGGAAATCCAGCTTAATTCATTCCTAGACATTCCAATTTAGTTGCTGGTGGTTTGGATCTCATTACTACCTCTATTTTGCGCCTCAATACATGAGGGTCCTAATGTAGAACGAAGCTACGGGATTACAATCCCCGGTGGTGTAATTTTCTTTTAGGGCCTTTTGCCCTCCTTGGTACCCAAAAAAAAAAAAAAAACTCCCCTTATACAATGTAATAACTAACCCACTCAAGATTCCCTTAATCTTGAGTCTACTAAGAAATAAATTATCAACAAATTATAAAAGATGATAAACCTCACAGGAGTAAATGCTAAACAATGGACTTCAAGGTTGTTGAACTTTTCTATCATCGATTAAGAGTGCGATTTTGAAGCTTTAAGTTTTAATGGTGGTTTAGAGATAACTGACTACTTTAGTTTAAAAAATAAGAAGTTTAATTATATGAAATGATAATAAAGTTAAAAGTTTACAGCTTTAGTTATATGAAATTCAAAACTTCAAACTATAAGTTGGCATTGCTTAAAAGCTTGTAATTTGATATACATATATATATATATATATATTTATATATTAGGGTTCCTACTCTTCTTAGACAGCTACTTGCTTGGGACTTCTCATTACTCGGGGAGATCTTTCTTTCTATAATAGAGAAAAGGTAAAATTAAATCTATTATTTCTGAAGTAATTATTAATTTTAAAAGCACTCTTTTTTCAAATATTTCCTCCACTCTTAAATATAAAATTTAATTTGTAACGTAAGCTGCACTATAAACTAAATCTGATATTTAGGATTAGAGGTAATAATTTTTTAGTTTTTGGTGACAGCCGTTGGCTGTGTTTTTTGTTTTGTTTTGTTTTTTTGTTTTTACATAAAGACAATAAAACTATACCAAAAAAAAACATTATGGAAAAATCCTTGGCACTCTGGTGGGGATATGACATTTCATGGTTCTAAAAGGCAAATCATGAAGCCAATTATCAAAGCCAACCCAATTACTTCTTCACCTCATAAACAGTTCTCGCATTCAGCTTCCCTCCTTTGCCTTTTTGGTCTGCTGCCGTCTGCTGTCATTAAACGATGCCGTTTTGCCATCCATTTATCTTTTTAGTCCAAGTCATTGGGTTCCAAAACTTTCAAGTTCTCTCACATTCACGCCATGTGCGTCCCTGTTTTTGCCTCTAAGCGCTTTTGGCATTGTCTCTCTTTCTGCAGGACATGTGTCTCTCTTTTTTGATGGGTACTTCAACCTTTGCTGGAGAAGTCACAAAGATGCTCTCTGTGTGAGCTTGCCTGGTTGTTCTTCTCCATCTAATCCATGTTCTCTCAGTGCAAGTCATTTATCTGAGAAAACTCTACTCAATTTACATTAAAAGTTGTCAGTTTTTCAGACTTGGAGAACTTCCATGTATGAACCTCACAATTAATATAACCTTGTGTATATGGAACAGATAAGAAAAGGAACAAGTTCATTTTTCTTCCATGTATAATACAAATTGTGCATCTTCCGCTAACATGCATACATGGATCTAATCACAGAGTACTAATTTTTTGTAGTTATGATTGTATATTGCTAGTAAATTTCAATTCATTATCAAGAGACAACAAATCTACTGTGATGGAAGAAGATAATGCCAAAGTTTGGTCCTAGTGGCTACTGCTTTGATGCTACAATCACCTATGCATTCCTCATGAAGTATAGTATTCTTCCGGTTCTTAATATAAGACCTAATTATTAAGTTGATTTTAGTCTAAAATATAATATCTATTTCTCATATTTATCAATTTTTCTTAAATTACTCATATGGATCTCCCTCATCCATAATCAAATAAAAGAGATAGAAAGGATATTAAGGAAGATAATTATGGTGTTTTAAGAAAAACATGTTATATTTTTTATAATTAACTAACTTACCTAACTTTCTTAATATAATCAAATTAGTTAAATAGATCTTATATTAAGGACAGAAGGAATAGTAGCTTAAATCAGAAATATACAAAGAAAATAATAAAAATAAGTGCAGCAGCCTGAGAATATCTAGGAGGCTTTGTCCTAGATGTTGAATCATCTATGTGCAATGAGAACGCACAATGTCTTGTTTGACGGCAAAGAGACAACAACACGAGTGCTTAGAGGTGGAAACAAGGACGCAGTCGCATGAATGAGAACTTCGAACTCAGGGGTGTTCGGAATTAAGAAAAACTCTTTTTATATATTTACTGATAACGAACGGCAGCGGACGGAAAAAACAAAAGAGAAAAGCTGAACGCAATAGTTCTCGCCTCTTGCCATTCTTTATACCGGGCATGTAACTCATTTAACAAGAATTCATCATTTTCTACTTGTACATTACACTTTACTACACATTTAAGCTTGATCTTCCTCCTTGGTGAGTTTTCCTTCCATGAATTTCTTCTTGTTCTTCAACTTCTTTTATCTTCCATTCTCTTTTTCATTTTTTGTGTTTTTCGAGTCCTTATCAATCAATTATACTGGTTTATTTTTTGACTGCTTTTGTTCAGACCAGACAAGTGGCAGAGTTTTGATCCAAGACTCGTTCTTTTTTTTTTTGGCCTAATAAAAAGACAATTTTATTCAGCATAAGTAAACTTATTACATAAAAAAACCGGCCAATCACATTCAGTCAATTTGAGTAAAGTCCAAGTAAATCAAAAGAGAAAGTCAGCTTAGAATATCTAAAATATAAAAAAAAGCAGACAAAGCAAACAAAAAACAAAACCCAATAAACAGCAGGAAAAAAAATGTGCAGCAACGTCATCCATTCAAAAAAACTACAGTCATGGGCCACATGCTGAATTTTCAAAGTATATTGGCCATATGCTTAATTTTACCTGTGTACTATATTATACTTCTCCGGTCCTATTTATAAGGCACAGAAAATGTGTTTTTTGATACTATTTATAGGACCTGGAAAGAATTTTTTTATGTGGATATACAATTTTACCTCTCATTTATTATTGTGTTGACTTTGTTTATATGAAGTACTACCTCCGGTTCTTAATATAAGATCCAATTTGACTTTTATTTTGATTCTAAATATAAGACTCCAATCCGCTCTATCTCTCATATTTATACATTTTTTTCAAAATAGCCCTTCTAACAATGATAGTTCTAGTTAATACACTTGATTCGCAGGGATATTTTAAGAAAGACAATACTTATTTAGGACAAATAACTAACTCAACTTACTTTCTTAATCTCTTCAAATTAATCAACTGGCTCTTATAACTAGGACCGGAGGTAGTATAATGTATATTAAATAGAGATAAAGTTAATAAGTCATTAAATTTTAAAGGAGAATTAATAAAATTTAAGATTTTTTTTGATTTGTGTAAAAATATCCTGAAAATACCTATTAAACAGGAGTAAAGGAGTAATTTATTAATAACTAATAATTAATCCTTTCAGCGGACGACATGACATTGTGCTGAAACAGGGAGCCGAAACGACAGGAGATGCGGAGGCGGCGAGGCTCAAATGGGAGGGGGGCATCCGATTCAAAGCGCCGAGGCATAAAGAAATAAAAAATAAAAAGAGAATAAAGAAATTAAGGAACAGTAATAATGTTAGGGTGTAGCAGTAGTTGCATATCTCTCGTAGTGGCGCCGTCTTCTTCTTCACAATCTCTTCTTCTCAGTCGTCTCTCTCTCTTTCCCTCGCCTTCTTCTTCTTCTCTGCCTTCTGCTGGTCAGCTTCTACTTTCTCCGCCGCTTTGTCTCTCTTTCACTTCCACTCTTTCTGTTTTGGATACAGTTCATTATCTTTTTCGCTTCTTAATTTGTCTTCTCTTCTTATTGTTCTGTGGTAAAGATAATTGGGTTATTGGAGGAAGCGGATTCACCATTTATGAGGAGCTTAGGTGTTTACGAGTGCTTATTTTCTTAATTTCCTTTGATTTGGTAGATTATCCCACCCTGTTTTTTGGCCTTTTGGGTAAATTTTGTTTTTATGCTGACTACTTGGTAACGTTAAAGTTCTTGAGTAATGACATTGTTTTATTTTCTTTTGGCATTACTTTTCTCTGATTACAATATGAGTATGATACCCGCATTTACCATATGGGATTTGGGGACATTTTTATTTATTTTTTCCTTATTATTCTTGAAGTTAATGAACAACTTTAATACTGCTAACAGGAAAGAATTCTTTTTGCGCAATATTCATTGTTTTTTTTTTAAAAAAAAAATCATGCAGTGTGAGCAAATGTGCTTTGGATTTCCTTGCGAAACTTAAGCTAACTTGGCTGAACTACTCTTTATCAGCTAAACTTCAATACTGCTAACACGAAGGAATTCTTTTTGCGCAGTATTCATTTTTTTTTTTTTTTTAAAATCATGCAGTGTGAGCAAATGTGCTTTGGATTTCCTTTCAAAACTTAAGCTAACTTGGCTAAACTACTCTTGATCAGCTAAACTTTATTACTGCTAACACGAAAGAATTCTTTTTGCGCAGTATTCAATGTTTTTTTCCTCTTTAAATCATGCATTGTGAGCAAATGTGCTTTGGACTTCCTTTCAAAACTTAAGCTAACTTGGCTAAACTACTCTTGATCAGCTATTTCTTTGTTTCATTTCAAAATTTTGGTAGCTTTCTGCATTACTTATGCTATTGTCATTGTGAAACTAGACAGATTTACTGAAGGTTGCATCTAGAAGACTCACTTTTGCGACAAAGACAAAGACCCAATCCGTATCCACAATGGCAGTAGTAAGTTAATTCATCTAGCAAACATACAGATTTTCTGTCTTTTCGTTGTTGCGAGCTGAAACTCTTTTTGCAAGGACGATGCATGTCTGGTTCCGTTGCAAAAATGCCATAGTGTCGAGCAATATCCATGACTGTTCTTTATGAAAAGAGTGAAACTATTTTTTATTGTTTGGATCCAGGATCAAGAAAATGTGGGCAACGTCAAGAGACAATTGGCAAAGCTATTTGAGGTATCTTTGAAGGCAACAATACCTGATGAGCCTGGTGTGGAGCCGTTAATTGCTGCTTGCACTGGAAAATTTGGTGACTACCAATGGTAGGTTAATCTTTTGCACTGTTTAACATTTATTTGAATTTGAGAATTAAAAATCTAAATTTATTTTATGTCATCTGCAGAACTGGACCACTAGATAACATATTTTCTTCTATAATTTTGCTTCATCCTGCTTTTGAAAGCTAAATTAGGTTACTTGCCGTTGTGTAGTAATAATGCAATGGGCATATGGTCTAAAATAAAAGGAAAGCAGACAGAATTTAAGGGTCCCCCATCTGTTGGGCAGGTATAGCTGGTGATGACTTCTTTTCTTCTTTTCCTCATCATTATGCATCTTTCTTTAGAATTGAATTTTTCTTTGTTACTTCCAGATGATCGCCTTTCTGTTGTTTTGTATAGGCCATCATGAAGAATCTTCCTCCATCTGAGATTATAGAATCATGCTCTGTGGCTGGACCCGGATTTGTCAACATCGTCTTATCAAAGAATTGGATGGCAAATGTACCGATATATTTCTATCTTTGGGATTAAAATTGTAATTTGTGTCTACCTGGTATTTGAGTCCATTTTCTTTGCTTTCACTTTATTCATCTATTGGAACAGGCTGCTGCTAAAAGTTTTCACTTTGCCTGATTTACTATCTTAAAGTGGCCTGTTCATACTCACACTAGAAGTTCCTGTTACAGAGCTTACAAAGGATGCTTATTGATGGTATTGATACATGGGCACCGCAACTTCCAGTCAAGAGGGCAGTGGTTGATTTTTCCTCTCCCAACATAGCAAAAGAAATGCATGTTGGTCACTTGAGATCTACCATTATTGGGGACACATTAGCTCGTATGCTTGAATTTTCGCATGTAGAGGTTCTCCGTCGGAATCATGTTGGTGATTGGGGAACACAGGTATATTTGCTTCTGAAGTCATGCTTTTGGTGCAATAAGAATAGCACATGTTCCATATGGGTTTACATTGTTCAAGATTTCATGTGATTTATGAACACTGTTTAGTTTGGTGACTTTGTGACTCTTTAACATTGAAATGGTGTTTTGGAAACTAAATAATATTTTGGGCAATCGCTTCCTTAACATGCTCTTCTTAAAAGACCATGAACATATTGAAATCAGAGTTTGTGCTTATGAGTTCAAGAGAAAAAATTTGAGCATTTGATAGAAGGCTTGAGCTGTAGTGTCTGTTAGACATGAGGGAAATGGAGGAGAGGGGCAATCTTAATTAGTTCAATTTAAAGAATTAGAGAAGTGGGATAAAAGCTTTTAATTATTTTTTCTTATTCTTTTATCTTACATCTTCTCTTTATTAAAATTTTGTAACCCCACTTCTCTAATTATGAAATGCTCTGTTGGACTTGGAAAATTTCTCCTCTTTGGTATTGATATAATGTTGGTCAAGACTCAAATTTTGTGTATTTGTTTTGCAGTTTGGTATGCTAATCGAATTCCTTTTTGAAAAATTTCCAAACCCAGAAAATGTCAATGAAGCAGCCATTGGAGATCTTCAGGTAATAAGATATATTCAAATAAAATCAATTCCATTTAATTTTATTTAGATATTTAATCTGATATTTCCCTAGAAATTCTTTCTTCAACTCTGAACTTCTAATAAACATTGTTGTCATCTCACTCACTGTATGAACCTGTAATTAATTTGTTTTCATGTCACAGTAGTAAGAATTGAGCTTGATTTTCTATAAATAGCATTTAATCCATGTAAGGAAATATTAATGTCTATTTATGACCAAGCAAAGAATAGTTTAAAGCAAGAGTTGTTAAGTTCTCCTCAACGTGCAGAATTTTGAATGGTTGTTTCTGCCTTTTTCCTTCCCCTTTTTGTGTGCGCAATTAAATTAGTAGTTGCTGTTTGAAACATATCTGTTGTCATTTTCTTAGTTCTTTAAAGAAGGGATTGAAAATCATTGCTTCAATAGAGCTCTTGTTGCTAACACTGCTTTTTGATGCCTGCAAGTGACATTCACCCTATAGATGGCAACATATATAGGCCTCAAAGTGTAATGTTCTTATTAATAGCCATGTTGTATGCTTCTCGTTATTTTTGTTGTGCGTATCTCTATGTTTTCTTCATCATAAAACGTTTTCTTGACAGTTTAGAAAGTAAATTATGGTTTGTTTATTTTCTAACAAGAATCTCTATTTTGTAGACGTTCTACAAGGCTTCAAAAGAGAGATTTGACAGTGATGCTGAATTTAAGCAGAGAGCACAACAGGCAGTGGTCCGTCTCCAGGTAAATCACGTCAATTGTCAACTTCATGACTTTATTTTTTTTATCTTCTCATATATCCTGGGGGACTTTATTTTAAATTGTTTGTGTTTATATTAATTTTAGGGTGGAGAAGACAAATACCGTAAGGCATGGGCGCAAATTTGTGAAATTAGCCGGACTGAATTCCACAGGGTCTATCAACGTCTTGGAGTTCATTTGGAGGAGAAGGTAAATGTAGTAGTCTCAAATTTTATTTTTTTTCCCCACTCTTGGGAGGACTATCATGATATCTTTTCGTTGGTGACTTCTGAATTTAATGATGGGATACTTATGCTTTACTTATTTTTCCTTGAGTTTGCTAGAAAATCTGAAGTTCGGATGCTTATTAGTCTATTAATTGAATGCCTTAGATTCGGATCATGTATTTTATTATGATTGAGGGTTTGATCATTTGTACAAATAAGATTGAAATTTACACTTTGAATTTTTTCTGATCTTGTATCAGGCATTTAGTTTTCCTTATAATATCAACCAACATTGAAATTTTGAGGTGCGTCTTATGTATGAAGGAGGACTTCTCAGATGCTTTATAAATTCCCAGGATTTGCCATAAGCAGTGAAGCTTGTGAAAAAATTACTTTTGACTGGACATTGTTTATGAACCATGACATTTTTTACTTTAACAGAATGATGTTCTTCTTCACAGGGAGAGAGCTTTTATAATCCATATATTCCTGGGGTTTTAGAGAAACTGAATCAACAAGGACTTATTGAAGAAAGCGAAGGAGCTCGTGTGATATTTCTCAAAGGTGTAAACATACCACTTATTGTTGTGAAGAGTGATGGTGGCTACAACTATGCTTCAACAGATCTAACTGCTCTTTGGTGAGATATCTTTCTTATAGTTCGTTCAGATAAATTTTTTTATTTTTTTAAAAAAACAAATCTCGGTTGTCAGTTTTTCAACTATCTAGCCAAAATAATATACTATTTTTCTCCTACGGTATAAATTTTTTCCTGCTATTCAAGTTGATCTTAGGATACTTAGTATAATATTGCAAACTAAATATGAATTATCTGACCGTTTCATGTTAAGGACTCTGGTGAATGGTTTGTCTGTTTGTGCGATCTAGTATGGCTTTTGGAGTTAATGTGGTGGCATTGTAAATTGTAATTTTTAATTTTTAAATAAGCAAATATATGGACAAAAAAAAACTGATTATGCTATTTCTTCCTCATTCATATAGGTATAGACTAAATGAAGAAAAAGCAGAGTGGATTATATACGTTACCGATGTTGGACAACAACAGCACTTTGATATGGTCTTTAAGGTATCTTTCAGATGCTAATGTCCAAATTATTTTGTGGCTCCTGCATTTGTTATAGTGTAAATTCTGTTTTTTCCAATACAAGTCACGTCATGTTTGATACTGAGTGTAGAACAGTAGCGTTTTGATATGGCCGTTAAGACTAGTGTGAACTTCTCTGGTGCAATTTGAGAGTCATGTCATGTTTGACACTAAGCATTTGTGCTTTATAGGTTATGATGAAATAAATTGTCAAGCTTTCCATCTCCATTTCAGGCTGTTAAGCGTGCAGGCTGGCTGCCAGCAGATGATGCTTCATATCCCAAAGCTACTCATGTGGGCTTTGGTCTTGTTCTTGGGGAAGATGGAAAACGTTTTCGAACACGCAACACTGAAGTTGTTCGATTGGTTGATTTACTTGATGAAGCCAAGAATCGCAGCAAAAGTGCCCTAATTGAACGTGGTAAATTACTGGATGCCTTCTATATGCTTGGAAAGTATGAAATTTCTTCTAGTTCACCTTCTGTGCATGTAAGCATCCACGGGAAAGAAAAAGTTCTTGTAGAATAACTTTGATGAGTGGATGTGCCAATTTTGGTACGATTCACTGAGGTTCTAAGCACTGGAAGATGACCTTCAAATTGTTGATGTTCTTTAGAAACAGCTAAAGATTGGTCTGAGGACGAGGTTGAGAAGACAGCAGAGGCTGTTGGTTATGGTGCTGTTAAGTAAGTCGCTTTTGCTTTTGAAAGTATCTTCAAATTTTCCTGCTTAGTGAAACTACAAGATTGTTGACATGTGATATTTGTTAAAGTATAACCAGTCCTGGGCTTAGGAAAATAAAATTTATAACCAGTCCTTTTCCTAAAATTTCCCTTAGGTGAGAGGAGTATTTATATGAGTCATATAATGACATTGCTTACCTGTTGTTACTTTGGAATATGTGTATATGCATGAATGTGTTGGAATAGTCTTGATGCATGTTATATTTAGGATGCTTTTAAATTAGAGCTGCAGCCTGTAGCTATGAATATGGCTGTGAATTATGTTGGCATGTACAATTTCTTTTCCCTACAATCTATGTAAATATATTAATAAATATATCAACTTTTATTCTTTCAATTGTGCAATCAATTGTCTATTTCTGTGCCACTACCATGAAGATTGATTTTAGTAATGTATGGTTATTTTGATGATTATACTTCAAGGCAACAATCTGTGGATTGAGCTGATGTTGGCAGCAAGAATGCTAAATGAGGGGCAGACTCTTATTATTTCTCTTGAATCTGTCTTGACAGGTATGCTGACTTGAAGAACAACAGATTGACAAATTACACATTCAACTTCGATCAGATGCTCAGTGATAAGGTGCGGTGGCAACATGCAGATGTTTAAGTACTCTAATGAAGCTACAGGGAAGAAGCTAGTTGATTTCGGGACTATTACCCCCTATACCCATTTTTTCAAACCATTATCATTTACTCTCTTCTATTTCACAGTTTTTTTTTTTTTTTGGGAAAAGGTTAAAAACTACCCATACATGAACTGAACTTTATCAGTCGTTGTCTAACTCCTTATCTCCCCCAAAAAACTGTTGGTTATGATGTTAATGATGCCAATCAACCTCATGTGAAACAGGGTAATACTGCCGTCTATTTACTGTATGCTCATGCCCGGATCTGTTCCATTATCAGGAAATCTGGTAAAGACATAGAAGAGTTAAAGAGAGTAAGTTCCTTTTCTCCTCCTCGTTTTCTGCCTTTCTAGTTAGGTTGTGCCTATGTTCAAACGAATTGCATTTATGCATGGTTCATGCGACTCTTCCTGGAACTCATCTAATATAATTTTGAGTTGTGATATTAATCTACCAAAGATGTTAAACTAAGCAACGTAATGTACCACGAGTTTTGAAATGATCTTCTTACTCCTTTTGTTTTATGTTTATATATGGTCAGTCTGCTAAATTTCCAACTTGTATCTAGTGATGTGTATCTTATACTTATTTTTGTGATGTAACAGACTGGGAGAATAGCATTGGATCATCAAGACGAGCGTGCATTGGGGCTCCATTTGCTACAATTCTCTGAGGTAGGAGATGGCAAAAGGATATGCCGACCTTAATCCTTTTGCTTTTAGACCCATGTTCGGTAAATATTTAATTTAAAACTTGATTAGTAGTGGTACTTCATTTCCTTCAAATACAAGAGACAGGCGAGATCATGACTCTAATGCTGCATAGTGTTCCAGCTTATTAGTTAATTAATCGACAACAATTCTTACACTCCAGTTTGTGGGATTTTCTGGTTTATCTTCCAGGTTGTCGAGGAGGCCTGCACCAATTTATTGCCGAATGTATTGTGTGAATACCTATATAATTTATCAGAGATCTTCACAAAAAAATTTTATTCCAATTGTCAGGTATTGTTCTGACACTATTGCTTTATATTCTTGTTCTACTAGTGAGGGCAAGAGAGTCGATCTCCCATGCGCCCCCTAGCACATTGATATGAAGTCAAAATTTTGGCAAGCTGTGCTATTCATAAGCTAACTCTGTAATACTTGGAAGCACATTGATAAAGTAAAAAAATTTTGGCAAGCTGTACTATTCATAAGCTAACTCTGTGTAGCGTGCAATATTTCATAAGCCAACTCTGCATAATACATGGCTTCTGCTTCTTATTATATATCCAGTTGTAACCTTGAAAAGTACCAGTTGGTGAGTTAATAAGCTGAAACATGTCCTTAACCAAATTGTTTTTGGAGTGTCCATAAAATTATGGGAGTCTTACTTACAAGGCAACATCTATGCATGGGAAGGCAACCACATATTGGGGACCTCAAACGGGTTCCCAAACATTCACCTAGTCTGAATTGAATTAAAGAATGCTGACTCAAGCCATTTGATTGCAGGTTGTTGGGTCGCCTGAGGAAACAAGTAGACTCTTGCTTTGTGAAGCAACAGCCACTGTGATGAGGAAGTGCTTTTATCTCCTTGGAATTGTACCTGTCTACAAGATATGACCACATCGCCAAGTGTTTTTTAATGCAAAATTTTGTGACTACCATTTTTTGTACACAAGTTTTGTGCTCTCTAAACTGGTCTCAGTTGAAAACTCGTCTTTCCTTCTTCCCGGGAGCTTTAGTTTTCCTGTCATGTCGACTTGGGTGGAAGAAGAAAACGGGGTAAAATGATGAGTGCTGTGTAATATTTTCACTGACGTTAATTAAACATGATAGGCTTTTCATACTTGATTTTCTTCATCAACTTGCAATGGGAGCTTGTAACCCTTCACGGTGTTTAAAGATTATAATAATAGAAACTTGTCAGGGTTATGATAGGGAACTTCTTGGCGAAATTGCAACTATTATATTTGCCTTAACTTGCCTTGTCCCTCACAACCGAATATGATTAATTTAAAATAAATAATCATAATGTAACAAAGATTGGTTGTGTTTTTAATATTGGTTCGATATATCAAATAGATTTAGCGTTATTTGAAATTCAGTTTCATGGAATTTTTAAATAGTGTTACAAGATCAATAAACTTTTGTTTTTTAAACAAAAAACTTTATGGGGGTTTACCAAAGTTAGAGCATGTTTTCAGGCTTGGAATGTTTATAGAGAGATATTTATATATCATTCACTAACGAAGTTCTCATATTAGCTCATTAAGAAAACGGTTTGTTGGTGAAACAATAAACTTCTAACATCATGTCTCACTCTTGTTTTTAATTTTCAGCATCCAATAACAGAGTTAGATTTGAGTATAGTTGAGCTCATTGAGAAATGGTTTTTACAAAATGATCCTTTTGTTTTTTTGGGGGGGGGGGGGTATTGAACCCTCGGCCTTAGAATTGAATCTTTTTCATCTGACCTAACGGAAAGGTGGGGGCAGCAGCACACAGAAAACTGAGATTGAACTTTGCTCTGTCTTGAAAAATCTCAATATTTTTGTTCTCTCCCCAACTGCTTCTTTTCCTTTTCTTTTTTTTTTGAGTAAAATCTGTCTCATTGTTTTGCTTGAATCAACTTATATGAAGATCTACCAATAAGAATTGGTCCAATTGGTAGGGAGTTGGTTCATACCTCACAAGGTTGTGAGTTCAAATCCCGTTACTGATATGAGGACCTTGTTAGTGTGGCGATCTATAAGTACTTCTGTGAGCACTCTTTGAATCTGGAGATATGTCCTTGCCTTGATGAGACTTTAGGACCCAACTCACCTAAACTTTTTATAACAAAAAAAAATTATAGGAAGATCGAATTCCTTACTATTGTGTGATATATGAATAACACATCAAAAAAGTATAGGTGGGTGGACACTATACATCTAGGATAAAGAGCTAAAGGCATGGGCACTACAATTTCCTCCTCATATTCCAACATTATAATTGATGATAGATTTATGTAGTGAATTTCCCACTGTCTCAACTGATAATCATGATAATGATTGATCATATATAACTTGTGTATGCTAACAGGTAATCACTCATGGGGTTGTATTATTAATTAATCAAAAAATATATAGGAACTGCCATTAAAAAAAATTACTTCCGGTTCTTAATATAAGAGCTAGTTAACAAATTTGAGTAGATTAAATAAATTAGTTAAGTTAGTTATTTGTAATAAATAAATGTAGTCTTTTCTAGAATATTCTGATTAGTGTATTGATTAGAATTACTATTATTACAAGGACTGACTTAGAAAAAAAAAAGGATAAATATGAGAAACAAAATAGATTGAAGTTTTATATTTATGATCAAAATAAAAGTCAAACAAACTTTTATATTAAGAACTGGACGTAGTAATACTTTTTTTTTTGTCTCCAATTTTGTTGTGAATGTAAGATTTTAAACCACTCTGTGTCTTAAATTTATAATTTTCTTCCTAAATTATTCCTATTACATTTACTGCACATTTTAAAAGAAGGTTCTATCAATGGAATAATTTCCAATAAAAATGATTAAAGGGGTATTTTAATAAACTAACAGGTCTTTTTTACAAATAACTAATAATTACTTATCCAACTCATAAATTTAGGACTGGAGGAAGAAATACTATAGCAACACTCAGGTCTTCCTCAGCCAGGCTTGGGTCTAACGGGTTATTCTCTCATATACAGATCAAGCAGTATCTGAGGATAGAATGCTGGATCTAACCCATGACTTACAAGGCCGAGTGAATTTGCTCTAACCAGCAAGCCATGAGGTCTCTCATATATATATATATATATATATATATCAGAAGAAAGTAAGGGAAAATTGAATATACTCACATTTTATACATAACCAACCAAAATTTTTTCCAAATTTTTGTGCATCGAGGAAGCAAGATCTAACTTGTTTGAACGATTCCGTCAAAAGTTCCTGTGTACAGCAATGGAGAGCCTAGAGCCTCCCGGAAAAGTCCCTCTTCTACTGCTCACTGCAGAAACTAAAGATCCTCTTGAAGTCTTCTTTGATATTGTGGCCTTGGGACTTATGTGTGATATAACTTTGTGTCTGTCCAAATCTCCTGCATAGCTCTTGCTTGACTTCATCTTCTTTCTGCAATAAGGTGTGGCCTTCTTAGGAAGATCTCCTATGCTCTCCACTGTTGCTAAAGAAGTGAAAGACTGAGCCTTCCCTTCATAGAACATTGATAAACCTCTCCTGCAGTTCACAACATCCATTTTCCATTAAGGATTTACAAAGGTGTCTGTGTATATATGTTATGATGAGTCCCACGTTAGGAACTTCATAAATAAAGCGTGGTTTATTATAAAGTTCAAAAGTCTCTCCCATAAAATATAGGCTAGTCTTTTAGAATGAGCTCTTCCTTCATATTTGTGCTCACAACCTTGAAGATTTCATTGAGAGGCCGATGTTGTTCATGTAGAGAGCTAGCCATGCAGGATTCTGATTTGCCAGAGCCACCGGACATGCAGCTCCATGGATGTGCCTCTAAACTTGTGCTCTATGTGTACGTATATATATGTATATATAAAAGAAATAAAAAGAAATACAAGGCAAGAGATTGCTTACTTTATAGGAAGATGGTCCATGAGCTGAGACAGTTCATACAAAGGGCCGTTTGATTTTGCGGATGATGGAGAAGAAGATGAAGTTGTTGAAGAGTCTGCTGCCTCCTCAGTGGATTCTGATAAAGAAGAAGATGATAAACTCCCTGTCACAGAGTTCATTGAATCTTCTGAGATGGATCCAATGGATGATATTGAATCCTCATCATCAGCATCAGCTTTTCCAAAATCCCAAGTTGTCTTTCCGACATCCATAATTCTCTGAGAATTTGATTTCAGAAAGTTTTGATCTGTCAACGAGGAAAGCAAGAACAGTTGCTGAGCAAGTACATATCTTTTTGAGTAAATGTAGATCCCATATAATTTATTGCATGAAGATGTGTTTGAAACACAAGGGGAAAAAAAATGGAGTCTTATACTTGCATATATATATATATATGTATATATACTTATATGCAGAGTCAGACACACGAATGAATGAAGAAGAAATGGATTACATTGACCAATATTATTTATTATTATTGAAATTGTAATTGTTTATCTGAAGAAAAGTTGTCATTATCAATTACGGAGTGTATGGTGCAAACTTAGTGGCTTGTTTCAGGCCTACTAAGATAGAGGATAAGATCTAAATCGAACAATGTATATCCATATCTTCAGACACCGTCATCATTCTCTCTCTCTCTTAATTAATTTTGAAACCTCTGATTAAGTTGAGTCAATACCCGGGTTTAGTGGAAAATATTTTATATTCCTTTAATAGGGTCGACATGCAAATCTTGTAAAGAGGAAAATTAATCTTAAGAAAGGTTTTTAAACCTCAATTAGACTTGGTCAACGGTAAAAAAAAAATGTTTGAGGACAAGAAAAAAGGTTGTTAGAGGGATGGATGAGAAGGGTAAACCAGATCATAAAGAGGAAGACCGAAAAATCGCTAAAAAAGATTATGGATTAGAAATTTTTGGTCAATAACACTCAGAAATCGGTTATTAATAGAGCACAATGACACTGTGTGGTTCATATGGCCAACTCGCTTAGTGATGGGATAAGACTTGTTATAGATATTAATGATCAGATTTGATTGGGTATTATAATAATTGTATAAAAAATCAATCAATCAATTAATCAACTATATTCTTAAAAACTTGTAATATCCAATTTGTTTGAAAATAAGTCGAGTATAAGATTATGGGATCCAAATATATTCTATTAATGAGATTTAAATAACATCTTGATTAAGATTTAAATATATTGAATTAAATGGGAAACATTATAAATAAATACAATTTCAAATAGAGGTTCAAATGAAAAAATTAATAATTGATCTTGAATTTAAATAATATCTTTACTGGATTTGAATATATTAAATTAAATGGGAAGTATCATAATCAAATAGTATGTCAATTAGCGGTTTAGATGGAGAAATAAATGACTAATTTCAAATTTTCATCTATTTCCTGCAAATTCTGCATTTCTAATTCAAATTTCATTAAAATGAATCAAAAAAATATACTCCTATTAAAAGTAAATCTTCATCTATCTTAGATAATGCAATTTATTAAAAAAATTTTGATTGGGTAATTTATTAAAATCTTAAATTTAATCAAATATGCTAATCCATATATGAGGGAAGAAATTTCCAGTTATTTTTGAAATTATTTGAGTGTTAGCTCCCTAGTACGCCAATTTTGCTTAACAATCATGGGCATATAAATATTGCGCCCGCCTTTATTGCATTAGCTATTTGTCTCATATGATGAATTTAGACGAAAAAGTGAGAGATATGAAAAAAGATAATAATAATGATTTGCATGAGGAAAATAGTTACAACAAACCTTGTTTTGGCTTCTTGTTCTTCTCATCCCTATTTTCCTTATCGCATAATTATCGGATGAAAAGGGGCTGTTCATTCCTCCTTTGAAATCTCTAAATCAGTTATATTGTTTTATTTTAAAAGAAATAAAGCATAGAGTAAACAAATTTTTGCATTATTGATTTAAATAGTAATGATTTTAATAAAATAAAGTTGAACATGATTAAAACAAATTAATATAGTCTCATTACAACTAACAGCAAATAACAAGGCTTATCTCGGCACTTATCTCACTAGTAGAGATTGGTTACATAGATCGCATTTGCTATTACGCTCTGTTAATAACCAAATCTTTAAATATACTATTAATCAAAAAGTCTCGTTTAATAATTTCATTAAGTATTATTTTCAGCTTTTCTATATCTGTTTTCAGATAATTTCATAGACAATGCCTTTAATGACCTTTATGGCATCTGAAACATTTCAAAGAATTTTTAATCATTTTCTCCTTATTAATATATATCACACTAGCTCTTCTTTATATATATATATATATGTGTGTATATATATATATATCTGTGTGTTGATTATAAATACTATCTTCATTTAATTATATCATTCCAAATAATCAAACTTCATTGATATAATAAACATCACTAGCAGCGAAATGGAATGTAAATGCTTACCACCCTATATTTCGAAACTTTATTCACAATAGAATCCATCATTCATAAATCATTAATCGTGTGACTTATTTATTTTAATTCTACCCAATATAATTAAAGTAAAAATACTTTATTAGATTTCTGAAAGTCCAACTTGGAGCTTTATTGTCACATGGTAAGCAATAACCTTACTTAACCTAGTGATACCTTCGTATGTGCGTTCTCTGAACAAAAAATTCCCCCACGTGTATACTAATATTTACTTCTATAAGCACATGAGAGGAAATTCAGGTACTATCAAGTATTAAATATAAACACTTTTTTATAAAAATTTTATAACAATATTACAAATTGTTTCAATAAATTTTCTTTTTGAAAAATGTAAACTGTTATTATCACGACTTACAAGCCATCGCATTAAAAAAATAGAATATAAATATGGATAATTGTTGTTTTTCAGTGTCTATATATATATATATGGCTTAGTAAATTGTTTACCAAAACAATATAAATAACTAATTCCTCTATGCATATTTATTTATGTTAAAATAAAAAGAGATTGTGTTAGAAGATACGTTGTTTCAATGAGCTGGATTGGTACGAGAATGATATGACATTCGAAAGTAAGATAAGGTTGTTGGCTAAGCTTCACAAAGGGGATGTGTCATTTTAATGAAATTCAATTAATTCAGGTCCCCTTTGGCCAAAAAAAAAAAAAAGTAGGTCCCCTTTTTTTTCATTTTTAAATCAATTGATGTTTTGCTGGTAAAAAAAAAATCAATTGATGTTTTAAGTGATGATTAATAATTATTTTATTGAAAATAAAAAATTAATTTAAATTTAAAATAAATAATTGAAATTTTTGCTGAATATAAGCGATCAAACAATTTCACAAGTCTAAATGCCTCAGATATAAATAATCATGCAAAAAAAAAAAAAACAATATTTGAATCTAGCTTAACAATGCTACTCCCTTATGTTCTATTCATAACATACAAATAATGGAATTAGGCAAATTAAAAAGTTGATTAAAATATTGATTAAATTACCAAATATGTAGAAATAATAATTTATTTTTCAAAAACATCTTGTTGGCGAGGAGGGTGAGTGAAAAGGAAGAAGAAAAAACAGATAAAAAACATATAATTAATTACAGTGTAAAAATAAAAAATGCATTAAATGTTTAAACATGTTATAAAATGGATTAGACTCATTTAATAATTAATTGTGAATTAAAAAAGAGGACCAAAAGATGACGTATTAAATATTAAATAATTGTTAGAGACTTGTAAAGCTTAACTAATTTTAACCAGTGTTATTAATGGTGGAAATATAGCAGATGTGTAAGTTACTGTTAAAAAAATACAAAAAAGAATTATCCAGAAAAATAAAAACCATTTATATGAAGTTTAAACGATAAAGATGAAAGGAACACAACACGTAAGACACATTAACAAGTAGACGGGTGCCAATTGAATTGACATCAGAGTGTAGTCCTTGGTTGAGCAATCAAACTCCACCACGTGCTATTATGGCATTGGCATGAAGGCTTTAAATTATATAATTTAATTTGATGGTTTTTAAATAAGTCTTTATCAGTGCCCACAGGTTTGCTTCTGAATTATTAGTACTCCTTTCTTTCTCGATTATTTTCTAGTAACCTGCAATTTTATCGCTTAACACTATTAATTAATAATTAATAACGTCTCATTAATTGCATTATTAGTAGCGTCATTATTTTATATTCTCCCTTTCGATCGTTCTATGTACAAAATACAGTTTTCAGAAGTAACCAAGTCGGATTTATAAGAAAAAGGTATTTTTAGGAAATAAAATACATTTTTATATATTTACTATTTTTCATTAATTTTAACCAGCTAGTTATTCTGTGTAATTTGATTATGTGTGTGTGTATGATTGAAAGAACTACATAATACTACATCCAATCCTTAATATAAGACCCCGTTTGACTTTTAGTTTGGTCTTAATTATAAGACCCCAGTCCATTTTATCTCTCATATTTATGCATTTTTTTCCAAGATAATCCTTCTAATGATAATAGTTCTAGCCAATACACTTAATTAGCAAGGATATTTTAGGAATGACAATACTTATTTATTACAAATAACTAACTTAACTTACTTATTTAATCTCCTCAAATTAGTTAACTAGATCTTATAATTAAGACAAGAGGTAGTAAGTTGATATGATGTTTCATATTGACATAGTATGTGCTGCTATAACAGTTTCTTAGTGGTTATTACATTGTAAACAACTATTTATAGGACGTTAGTTTGTTGAATTTAGCGGTTAAGAATGTGATTTTTATTAGTTAATTCAATAATTTTATCATTCTAATTATGTAATAATGGATGGACCACTGGAGAAGAAATTGATACCTCCGTCTGGAATTTTCTATTAAGTTATTTGCTCATGCAAAATTCTTTTTGTCACGAAATAATGATTAATTTAGTGGGGTAGGGAAGTGTGACGCTGATTTTGAAGCTACCCAAATTATGTTTATGCATTTTACCCCCCAGTAATTATGTTTACGGTTGGTTCCTGGATTCTTATATACAAATATATTATTTTAACCTCAACCTGAGCCCCCTAAGTCAGGAGTGATCCTATTGGAAGCTTTTGGTTTTATATGCAAAATATTGTACTAGAAAAATAGTCTTTGGTATATATATGATACTGTTACCTCCAGAAAAGACGCAGATCAATTTCAATAGATTAAAAAAATTATTAAAATTACTTAATTATAGCATATGTTATATAATATCTTTAAAATATTTATGTGTATTATTAGACTATATATTAATTTATAAGTCAGATAAATTAATTTGGAGAAAAACAATAAATATAAATATTTTAAAATAATTTAATAATTTTTTTAATCTTCTCAGATTAAATAACTAG